TCGTTAGTGCAATTCAATCCTTGCGGAAGCACATTAGGACGCCCAAGAGTGTGTTGTTTAAGTCTGGACCCCTGAGCAGGACGTCGTTCAGTGACATGCCTTGACACTCAGCGCTGGAGTCAAACACCACTCTTATTTCTTCAGGCTTGTGTGGATGGTAAACACCAAATATTGGCAGATACCAGCGTTCTTTGTCTTCCTCTAGTGGCAGAGAAGGTTTGGCTTGGTCGTTATCCAGCATCTTTTGCATGAAGTCAATAAAATGAAGTTTCATGTCAGGCTTTTTGTCTAAAGTCCTACGAAGTGATGTGAGATGCTTCATGGCCTGCTCCCTGTTATTAGGAAGGCGACGTCTAGTGGGGCGAAAGGGTAGTGGAGCCACCCAGTTGTTTCCATTATCTTGGAAAACCTGTTGGTCCATAATGTCCAAGAAGGCTTTGTCCTCCACAGATGGTGCTGGTTTATCATCGTCTTCTGTTTTGTCGAACACGGAACATCCCAGGCTGTCTGTGTTCACAGTTGTGCTTGGATCTCTCGAGTGCACTGTAGAGAGAGAGATGTGTTGCTAAGCTACGCTGCTGTAGTTCACTTTCACCTGGATGATGTCAGGGAAAGGGCTCAGATAGGATGTGTGACCATTGTGAAGTATGTTTGTCCTGAACACGTTAACATTGGCTGGTCGGTGAGCCGTTCCCAGACAAACCTCACCCACGATGACCCACCCGAGGTCGAGTCGCTGTGCATAAGGAGTGTTGTGGGGCCCATTGATTTGTTCTCGTACCTTGTGTACCCTTAAGATGTCTCGTCCTAAGAGCAGGAGGATGGGAGCATCTGAGTCCACAGCTGGAATTTTGTCCGCCACTGGTTGCAGATGGGGATGATGATGCGCAATGTCTGGGGAGGGAATCTCCATTCTATCGTCTGGCATCATGTCACACTCTATCAGAGTAGGGAGAGTGAGCTGCATGTGTCCGTCTATAGACTCCACCATGAAGTTGACGGCTCTCCTGCCTGAGTTGTCATTGATGTTGAATAGATTGAAAAACTCTGTCTTGGCCAGAGATTTGTTGCTCTGTTCATCAAGCACTACATATATTTTGACAGCTTTCTCTCTTTTCCCAGCTGGATAAGCTTTGACTAGGCATATTTTTGAACATGATCTTGGATTGGCTGCCTCACCACAGATCTCGGTACACTTTGAGGTGACTGATAGAAGAGCATCTTCACCTTGCTCCCCGCCATGCTCTTTCTCTGCTGTAGCGGTGTCTGTAGTTGAAGGGGCTGGACCTGGATGCAGAGCAGCAAGATGACTGTCGCTGTCACACTCAGGGCACTTGATTGACACCTTACAGTCTTTAGCTCTGTGCTGAGTTGACCCACAACATCGGAAACAAATGCCATTCTCTTTGAGATATGATTTGCGCTCATCTAGAGATTTGTATCTAAACCCACAACACTTTTTAAGAGGATGAGGCTTGTTATGTATTGGGCAGTGATGGTCAGGGCTTTCAACCTTACTGGGTTTGGTTTGGTGGTCTGAGGGCTCAGATGACACGTCTGTTGTGTACAGTCACAGGTGTCTTGCTGCAGTACCTGACAGGTTTCTCACTTTTCGCAGACACTTGGGTAGTTGAGGTGTAGAGGGTGAAACTGGGGTAGTTTCTAGTTTTCGCCTGCATCCTGATGAATGGTGGGAATGCTACCCGATAGTCCTCCTTGTATTTGGATCCCTGTGCTATCCATTTCTCTTGTAAACTGAATGGAAGTTTCTCTACTATAGGGTTTACCCCCAAGAGATGTGTCCAGATAAGCGAGGCCTGGAAGGTACCCTTCTACTTTAGCACACTCCAGTTCGAGAAGAATGTCACCCAGTTCTCTTAGTTTGTGATTGTCTTTGTTAGACAGTTTTGGAAAATCATCAATTTTCTTCAACAGTGCATTCTCGATCATTTCGGGTGTACCATAGCACTCTTCTAGTCGTTGCCAGACCATGTTAAGCCCTGCTGTTGCATTGAGAATATGGACAGATCTAATTATTTGTTTGCTCAGACGACTCTGCCCCTAGCCACTTTGTAATTAAATCTAACTCTTCCCTGGCTGATAGATTCAAGTCTCTGGTCGCATTGAGAAAATATGCTTTCCATGCCCAATAATTTTCAGGGCGATCATCAAACTTCAGGAGTCCGGAACTCACCATCTCACTGCGCAGGAGGTACTTGGTGAGTTCTGGTGCCACTTGTGACTCAGGGAAGCTTTGTGTCGGTGACTGGAAGTGGGCTTGTTTTCCCTTTCCACCATAGTGCTGTTCATTTCTTTTGAACGGAGAGTCTCTGCTCATGCTCCGTTGTTTGCTACTTTCTGGATTGTGGTGTGTAGCTGGGTCAACACTAACCTCTTGTGTCTCTACTTCAAATTGCAGTTCAGCAAAGTAGGGCCTAGCATGTTGTTGCACATACTCACAAGTACGTTGGACTGGACTTAAGGGCTGTGTCCTTGTGTCGAGTTCTTTGCGGACCTCTCTGCGTTCTGACTCTACAGCTTCTTCAAAGGCTGCAGCTTCAGCCAACGCAGCAGCAGCTACTCTCTCAACTTGGAGAACATATAAACTTGCATCGAGGTCAGCTTTTTGCTTCAACAAGCTGGCCTCCAGTTCTGCCTTTTGTTTCATCACAGAAGCTTCCTTTTCAGCATAGGAGACTTGAGCACGCGCTGCGTCCGCCTTGGCACATGCTTTGATGGCTGCAGAACTCACCGATGAGGATCTGCTTGACTGTTTTGATGACCTTGATCTTGTAGACTGAGACTTGGTCTCAATGTGCTGAAGAGGCTCTTCCATCTCTCTTACTCGATCCTCTTCCTCTTTCTGTCGAACACTTGCCTCTGGTTGCTGCATCGTAGACTGCTGGTCATCCCCAGGATCAGAGGCTTTGTTGGCTAATGAACGTAGAATCATAACCACCACATGCGATTGTTCTTGTGCTTGAGCCCGCTGTGATGATGTTTTTTCACTATTCTGCCCTGGAATTGCGTTCCCATGTAAAACTAGACAGATAGCTAACAACTGAGTCTTCAATAAAACTTCCAAGGCGCAACTTCAACTTGAAATGTATAATGTACAGCTACAGTATGTCAATGTGAATTGAATACTAAAGTATATTATTTTCTGTATTATGCAGTTTCACAACATAAACATTTTCAATACATTCGTTCAAGAAAAGTCACACCTTGGATGTTTTATTGAAGACTCAGTTGTTAGCTATCTGTCTAGCTTTGCATTGGAATGCAATTCCAGGGCAGAATAGGTTGTCTATTTCATTCAATTTAGACCAGACATACAACCTTACATTGCCATCAGCTGTTTTTATTTGGGACTGCAACACACATCTTGAGAAACAGTTATCTGTGGGACAATTTGAGGGACATTGGGATAAATAAATTGCTGTATTATATTGTATCTAAGTGATGAGGGGTTTGCAGCAGGTATCATTTTTAAACTATAAGACCAGATCATATTACCTGTATTTTAGGGCAATGTAGATATTTTAATTTAGAGAACTAATTTAATTGGCAAAACCAATAATTTAAGATTATTAAAGGTTACTGAAAAAACTGAAAGGGTCTAGATGACCTCTACTAAACACTATGTACTGATTCAGGGATGTGTGAAGGACCACAGGGATGTCCGGCAAGAACAGAATCAAAGGATGACAGGGAAAGGGTTTTTATTGTTGCCACACAACAGAGGCAAACATGGAAATATAATTTATACACATGAAAGGCTGTACAAGGCAACCAGACCTATACATAATTGCACTCTACTGCATCACAGAAGTTAAGCTAAATACAGTAAATAATCTTCTCAATTGCACACTATAAAGCTAAACATGCAGAACTGTGCAGTGCCTGAATCACATGTCAATGAACATGGATGGCTAAATAGTAAGCAGGCCCAGGTATAGGTAAAAAGGGCTTGCATGCAAAAGTGATTGATTTTGATAAAAACACTTGATCTGCCTTCCCAATGAAAACTAGTTAGAAAATTAAAACCTTCATTTTATGGAAAAGAGATGTTGTATGTTTCTGGACGATCCACCATGCTGCCTTGTTGACAACATGACCAAGCGGCGCAGATTACTGTTTGATTTGAGAAGGGCGCTCTTCCCTCCCCGCTTTCGCCCTATGACGTGACGGGCCATTGGCCAATTCAACCCAGGCCAGCGTAATAGAACTCCCTCAGTTACTGTATGTTGATGACTAACCTGTGTTATGAGAAAACTCCATCTCTACTCTATTCAAATGTTCTTGTTCCCACGAGAAAGGCTTGACTGATATAAACAGTGTTGGAATGTGAAGCATCATCAGACCGTACATGAGGGCAAAACTATGCTGCATGTAACTTAAAATAATACACAAAGGCAATAGAAATTATGTAATCAATAAATAATGTTTGTTTAAGCTTTGGTCATGCTGATCCACAGAAAGAACGGCATTTTTGGGATCCTTCCATGATCTGAGATAGCCTGTCATTGTCCTCAATAATATCCTATTTTTTGTATAAGATGATAACATGTTTTACAACCTATTTGAATTGATGTGTAGGCCAACATTGTAGACCAATACAAACTGAACCAATAAACCCAGGCAAAGGAAGGGAGAGCTTCAAGAGAAGAGAGATACTGTATAGTTAATTAGGAATACAAACCAATCCATGTTTGGCAGTGCATTGTTTATTTAGGGGAGAGACAAAAAAGAATGCCCTTGTTTGGAATGGAGTGACCTAGGTTCAGAAACAGAATCCTCTTGAAGAAAAAACTGCAACATTCTGAACCACTGAATTCCCACACTCATATCCTGTTCCATTAATAACTTAAACTCACTCATGCTATGCATGTTGCCATGACTATAAGCATTTTCAGTTATATATGAAAAGCTGTACATTCAGCAGAAGGACACCAGTCACGTTCAACAGCTGTATGTTTCAACAGATCACTTCTAGTACAATGATGATCTCACAAAACCGTTCCACGCACCTCGAAAAAGACATTGGAGACACCATGCCACCAGAGGGGTGGGCACCAATCGTGACCTGAACAACAGGGCCTGTCAGCCAGTCATAATTGAAGAGCCTCGTGACCTTTCACAATTGCTGCTGCGACTGCACGCATTCCCGCGGCGTAGATGGAGACACACAGGCCTAAGTCGGGACTGTAGCCTACTAAGCAGCAGCAGAGATTTGTCTACCTGTCGATTAGGTTGCAGCAAGGGTTTCTTCCAAATCAAGCCTCTGGGATTGGTTATTAGTCTGTCGACTGCTCATGGAACTTGATGAATATGAAATGAGGAGCGACATAGACACATTAAGGACTGGTAAGTGTCTCACTCTGACATTTTGCTCTCACAATTGCCTTCAGAATTGATCATGCATTCAGTCAAAACGTTAGTCAGATCAATAAAAGCATATATCAGTGTAGGGTTTATAAATACTGTACTAATGTGCTAGTATAGGCCTAAATTACTCAAGCCTATTGCAGGCTACATGTCCAGAAAAGGTTTTGTATGTGGTTGTATTTTGTTTGGCAAAGTTTCAGTGAGAATGAAGATCAGTTGCAAGCAGGAGCTGTAGGATATAGCCTACTCAGGACAGAGTCTGCTGCTCAAACTTGAATATTTACTGTTTGAGGTTTGCACAGTGGCAAATAAAGGCATGTTTGCTTGTCACATAAAGGAGTTACATTGAACACAAGGGGCCTTATTTCATTTTCTCAGGTTCAGAATGTACTCTTGTACAAACTGCCTACTCTAGAAATCCGATGTCTCCTTTGTAAAAGGGTACAGAATACGTAACTCTGTGTTGTTGTTGTTTTTATCGCACTGCTTTGCTTTATCTTGGCCAGGTCGCAGTTGTAAATGAGAACTTGTTCTCAACTGGCTTACCTGGTTAAATAAAGGTGAAATAACAAATAAACAGAAATGGCCATCAATTAGTTTACTGGACACATTCAGCATCACATCCATGTCTCAAGACTAGAGCATATTAATGATCATCACCTTTACATTGGCCCATAGAATAGGCTATAGTACACAGAATATTATGTTAGTCCATCCCATGTATCTTGGTCAGGTGGGATTTTAACTGTGAGAAATATGACTGTCACTGATTATGAAATGTTGAATACATCATGAATTGGTCAATAAATCATGATGCCCACACACTTTTCATTATGCACTGTAAAAAAGTCTGGATGTTGCAACTAAATATTATTACGTAACTGGTTCCACAGCCTTTTTTTTGTTTACTCAACTTTTTGGTCAAAGTGTTACCTGAATTTAACATTTTCAGTTGGCCCAAACTTAGCTCCAACATGAGAAAACGTAGGTTTAATTAACATATGAGACAAATTGAGCAAACACATCATTTGCATTTTTGCCTACGTTTTCTGAGCTTGGGCCAACTAAAAACATCCCTGGCTAAGGAAAACAGTCCCCTGGCTAAGGAAAACAGTCCCCTGGCTAAGGAAAACAGTCCCCTGGCTAAGGAAAACAGTCCCCTGGCTAAGGAAAACAGTCCCCTGGCTAAGGAAAACAGTCCCCTGGCTAAGGAAACAGTGCTGAGCAATTCCACAAAACTCCCCCATCATCCCACCCTCTAAGCTTACAGTAAGTGTGTTTCCTACATTTCTTGGCTGGATCAGTTGAAGAAGTTACATGTCAACTTTGAATGCTTGGATTCCATCTCTGGGCAATTCCACGGTAACGGAATTGTGCTCAGACTCTGATTTCAAAGTTTAACAAACCATACAACTCTATGCACAAGGACTACTTTTAACAATTTACACTGAAAATTAACAAAAACATTTACTGGAAGAACTGTGCAGATGCAAAGTTTGGTAACAGAATGTCTGTAAAATCTCCCACTGTTTTTTTTATGTGTCCACGTTTTCCAAAAACATAGTTAAATATCTGCTCCGAATTAAGATTCATCAACGTCTGCAGAAAGAATGGGGTGTCAGCTATGACATGACACATTGACTTTAAAAACGTATCTTTTGGTTATTGAACTACAGTAAGTGAAGTGGATTTACAGTTGGTAACGGAATTGCAGTAAGGGAATTACATCATGGGTCCCTGATCTGTACTACACAGAAATGCATAATTATGAATATGAATGTCATTCTCTTCATGGTGATGTGTCCTAAATAGGTACACAAAGGTAGAAATATGCAATATCCTCCTTTGCATATTTAAGCGGCGCTTTACATTGGCCCCGGTCCTAGGGCATCCTGAGCCGTCCCTGCCGTTCATTGTGGAGGTGGATGCTTCAGACGTTGCGGTGGGAGCAATCCTATCCCAGCTGTTCCTCATGGATGGTAAGACTCACCCCTGCGCGTTTTTCTCCGGCTGTCCCCGGCGGAGCGGAATTACGACGTGGTGAACCGTGAGTTGCTAGCGGCCTGGGGGAGTGGAGGCATTGGCTAGAGGGGGCCGCCCATCCATTTGTTGTATGGACAGACCATAAGAACTTAGCCTACATTCAGGGGGCCAATAGGCTCAACTCGCGCCAAGCCAGGTGGGCGTTGTTCTTCATTAGGTTCCAGTTCACCATCTCATACCGTCCGGGCAGTTCGCTCTCGACCCCGTGGACCTGGTGGAGAGGGACGACCCCATTGTCCCCAAGCCCTGATTTTGTGGGGAATCGATAGGCTGGTCAGAGCAGCGCTACGGCGGGAGCCCGATCCGGGCGGAGGTCCATCGGGGAGGATGTACATACCCAAGGCTGCGCGCTCGCGACTGCTTCAGTGGGCGCAAGCGTCCGACCTCACCAGCCATCCGGGGGGCGCCAGGACGTTAGAGTTCCTGCGTAGGAGGTTCTGGTGGCCATCTGCGCCTTCGTGGCTGCTTGCCCGGTGTGCGCGCGCACGAAGAGCTCACGTCAGCCTGCGGCAGGGCTTCTCCGACCCCTGCCTATCCCCAAGCGACCCTGGTCCCACATCTCGCTGGATTTCATTTCCGCCTTACCCCCCTCTGATGGATACACAGTCATCCTGGTCGTTGTGGACCGGTTCTCGAAGGCTGCCCACTTCAAATCAAATCAAATTGTATTTGTCACATGTGCCGAACACAACATGTGTAGACCTTACAGTGAAATGCTTACTTACAAGCCCTTAACCAACAATGCAGTTTTAAGAAAGAATACCAAAAGAAATCACAAAAAAATACAATATTAAATCATACGAAATAAAAGTAACAAATAATTACTGAGCAGCAGTAAAAATAACAATAGCGAGGCTATATACAGGGGGTACTGGTACCGAGTCAATGTGCGGTGGCACCGGTTAGTCGAGGTAATTGGGGTAATATGTACATGTAGGTAGAGTTATTAAAGTGACTATGCTTAGATAATAAATAGAGAGTAGCAACAGCGTAAAAGAGGGGTGCGGGGGCAATGCAAATAGTCTGGGTAGCCATTTGATTAGATGTTCAGGAGTCTTATTTCTTGGGGGTAGAAGCTGTTTAGAAACCTCTTGGACCTAGACTTGGCGCTCCGGTACCGCTTGCCGTGAGGTAGCAGAGAGAACAGTCTATGACTAGGGAGGCTGGATTCTTTGACCATTTTTAGGGCCTTCCTCTGACACCACCTGGTATAGAGGATGGCAGGAAGCTTGGCCCCAGTGATGTACTGGGCCGTACGCACTACCCTCTGTAGTGCCTTGCGGTCGGCGGCAGAGCAGTTGCCATACCAGGCAGTGATGCAACTAGTCAGGATGCTCTCAATGGTGCAGCTGTAGAACCTTTTGAGGATCTGAGGACCCATGCCAAATCCTTTCAGTCTCCTGAGGGGGAATAGGTTTTGTCGTGCCCTCTTCACGACTGTCTTGGTGTGCTTGGACCATGTTAGTTTGTTGGTGATGTGGACACCAAGGAACTTGAAGCTCTCAACCTGCTCCACTACAGCCCCGACGATGAGAATGGGGGCGTGCTCAGTCCTCTTATTTTTCCTGTAGTCCACAATCATCTCCTTTGTCTTGATCACGTTGAGGGAGAGGTTGTTGTCCTGGCACCACATGGTCCGGTCTCTGACCTCCTCCCTATAGGCTGTCTCGTTGTTGTCGGTGATCAGGCCTACCCCTGTTGTGTCAGCAATATTAATGATGGTGTTGGAGTCATGCCTGGCCATGCATTCATGAGTGAACAGGGAGTACAGAAGGGGACTGAGCACGCACACCTGAGGGGGCCCCGTGTTGAGGATCAGCGTGGCGGATGTGTTGTTACCTACCCTTACCACCTGGGGGCGGCCCGTCAGGAAGTCCAGGATCCAGTTGCAGAGGGAGGTGTTTAGTCCCAGGGTCCATAGCTTAGTGATGAGCTTTGAGGGCACTATGGTGTTGAACACTGAGCTGTGGTCAATGAATAGCATTCTCACATAGGTGTTCCTTTTGTCCTGGTGTGAAAGGGCAGTGTGGAGTGCAATAGAGATTGCATCATCTCTGGATCTGTTGGGGTGATATGCAAATTGGAGTGGGTCTAGGGTTTCTGGGATAATGGTGTTGATGTGAGCCATGACCAGCCTTTCAAAGCACTTCATGGCTACAGACGTGAGTTCTACGGGTTGGTAATCATTTAGGCAGGTTACCTTAGTGTTCTTGGGCACAGGGACTATGGTGGTCTGCTTGAAACATGTTGGGATTACAGACTCAGACAGGGAGAGGTTGAAAATGTCATTGAAGACACTTGCCAGTTGGTTAGCGAATGCTCGGAGTACACATCCTGGTAATCCGTCTGCGGCCTTGTGAATGTTGACCTGTTTAAAGGTCTTACTCACATCGGCTACGGAGAGCGGACAGCTGATGCTCATGCATGTTTCAGTGTTTCTTGCCTCGAAGCGAGCATAGAAGTAATTTAGCTCGTCTGGTAGTCTTGTGTCACTGGGCAGCTCGCGGCTGTGCTTCCCTTTGTAGTCTGTAATAGTTTGCAAGCCCTGCCACATCCGACGAGCGTCGGAGCCGGTGTAGTACGATTCGATCTTAGTCCTGTATTGACGCTTTGCCTGTTTGATGGTTCGTCTGAGGGCATTGTGGAATTTCTTATAAGCTTCCATGTTAGAGTCCTGCTCCTTGAAAGCGGCAGCTCTACCCTTTAGCTCAGTGCGGATGTTGCCTGTAATCCATGGCTTCTGGTTGGGGTCTGAGGCACTGCATCGCAGTGCTAGCTGTGCCACTAGAGATCCTGGTTCGAATCCAGGCTCTGTCGTAGCCGGCCGCGACCGGGAGACCCATGGGGCGGCGCACAATTGGCCCAGCGTCGTCCAGGGTAGGGGAGGGAATGGCCGGCAGGGATGTAGTTCAGTTGGTAGAGCATGGCGTTTGCAACGCCAGGGTTGTGGGTTCGATTCCCACGGGGGGCCAGTATGAAAAAAATTATTATAATAATAATGTATGCACTCACTAACTGTAAGTCGCTCTGGATAAGAGCGTCTGCTACATGACTAAAATGTAAAAACATGTAAATGTATGTACGTACAGTCACTGTGGGGACCATGTGGTGTACTCCTCAATGCCATCGGAAGAATCCCGGAACATATTCCAGTCTGTGCTAGCAAAACAGTCCTGTAGCTTAGCATCTGCTTCATCTGACCACTTTTTTATTGACCGAGTCACTGGTGCTTCCTGCTTTAGTTTTTGCTTGTAAGCAGGAATCAGGAGGATATAATTATGGTCAGATTTTCCAAATGGAGGGCGAGGGAGAGCTTTGTATGCGTCTCTGTGTGTGGAGTAAAGCTGGTCTAGAGTTTTTTTCCCTCTTGTTGCACATTTAACATGCTGGTAGAAATGAGGTAAAATGGATTAAAGTTTCTCTGCATTAAAGTCCCCAGCCACTGGGAGTGCCGCCTCTGGATGAGTATTTTCCTGTTTGCTTATGGCCGTATACAGTTCATTGAGTGCGGTCTTAGTGCCAGCATTGGTTTGTGGTGGTAAATAGACAGCTACGAAGAATATAGATGAAAACTCTCTTGGTAGATAGTTCCTTAGATTTCGTGCACCAGCTGTTGTTTACAAATATACATAGACCGCCACCCCTTGTCTTACCAGAGGCTGCTGTTCTATCCTGCCGATACAGTGTATAACCCGCCAGCTGTATGTTATTCATGTCATCGTTCAGCCACGACTTGGTGAAACATAAGATATTACAGTTTTTAATGTCCTGTTGGTAGGATATTCGTGCCTGTAGTTTGTCCATTTTATTATCAAGCGATTGTAAATTGGCCAATAGTATCGATGGCAAAGGCAGATTAGCCCGATCTTCCGCGATATCTCCTTTTCTTTCTACTGCGAATGACGGGGATGAGGACCGTGTCAGTTGTCAGGAGCAAATCCCTCTCGTCCGACTCAGAAAATAAAAATTATTCATCCAGTTCAAGGTGAGTAATCGCTGTTCTGATGTCCAGAAGCTCTTTTCGGTCACAAGAGACGGTAGCAGCAACATTATGTCCAAAATAAGTTACCCTCTTCATCCTGTTCCCCCTCTGCACCTCATCGGAGGGCAGCCAGATTTTACTGTGGACCAGATCCTGGACTGCCAGCGGGTGGGGAAGGGTCTCCAATTTCTGGTGGACTGGGAGGGTTATGGGCCGGAGGAGCGGTCCTGGGTGCACAGGAGGGACATTCTGGACACAGGGCTGATAACAACATTCCGGCACCGAGGCTGGGGCCGTTCGTCGGGAGGGGGGGGGCACTGTTACAGGAGGAGGTCGCAGTTCCGGAGTGACCCACTAGGTGTCATCCTCCGACAACCTTAGGCACCTCCTCACTCACAGTCTGGACTAATCAGTATCCTATTGGTTTCACCTGTGTCTTCCTGTTCACCTGTGTATTTATGACCCACTAGGTGTCATCCTCCGACAACCTTAGGCACCTCCTCACTCACAGTCTGGACTAATCAGTATCCTATTGGTGTCACCTGTGTCTTCCTGTTCACCTGTGTATTTATGCCCTCACTTCCCTGTGTTCCCTTTGCTCAGTTTTCTCTGTTAGTTTCCCTATGTCCAGCAGTACTAATCAGTGTCTGATCGGAGACCTATGTACAGGTACTTGAGACGTGTTCTCCCTGTTTAGTTATTTTTCGTATTTTTGCTGTCAGACGGTTTTTGGAGACTTATTTGCTCTGCCTTTCTTTTATCGTGATAAGTCTGTTATTTTGTATTCTGGCTTCTGGACCAACAGTAAAGATCCTTGTTTCACCATCTCTGCCTACTGCCTACTGTACATCCTGCACCGCACCTGGGTCACACCTCACACCAACCCTTACAGTAGTCAATTCAATTGCAGAAATTCAGTTACCGTTTTAATCACTTAATAATTAATAAACAAAATTGATATCAGTAAAAACACTAACTAATTGATAGGTCTACCTATACTTGTTACTTCTGTGAACTTTCATTATCCTCCCTTCTAATGAGGGAGAGAAATGTGAAAATATCTTAAAGATATGTGGGGTTTTGGTAACGGAATTTCAAGGCACAAGGTAATGTTTCTTAAACTTACAGAACACTGTTCAAGAAAGGCCTTTTTCCCTTTATTCAGATTACAACCTCTCACTTTCAGTTATTTGAAAAGGAAATAATCTCCCAAATGTCACTATTTCTAAAACAAGCCATAGAAAGTTGGTTGCAATTTCAATTTAATCCTCCAGAAACGACAGAACAAATAATGCAACAAATATTGTGGTTAAATTCAAATATACTAATTGACAAAAAACCTTTATTTTCTGACAGAATGTTTAAAAAAGGTATAATCTTCGTAAATGATATCATCGGTAGGACTGGTGGAGTTATGTCGCACATGCAGCTAACAAAAACATATGGAAATGTCTGCTCTATCCAAAATTACAACCAAATAATTGCAGCCTTACCGCAAAAGTGGAAGAGGAAAGTTGAAGGGGGAGAAAGTAAAGAACTTGTCTGTCGGCCTTGCATTAAAGAACATAATTGGTTAAGGAAAACTGTGATAAATAAAAAAGTATATCAGTTTCACTTAAGGACCAAAGGATTGACAGCCGTCCCATATAGATTGCAAAATAGTTGGGAAGAGATCTTTGACGTACCGATCCCATGGCATAGTGTTTATGAACTGACACGCAAAACGACACCGGATTCAAAAATTAGAATCTTTCAATTTAAATTATTATATAAAATTCTTGCTACCAATAGAATGTTATTTATATGGGGGATACAATCTTCCCAGCTCTGCAGATTTTGCTGTGAAGAGATAGAATCATTAGATCATTTGTTTTGGTTCTGTCCATTTGTAGCTTGTTTTTGGACACAGGTCCAGGAATGGCTAAAGGATTGCAATATTTACCTGGAACTAACCTTGCAGATAGCATTACTGGGTGATCTGAAAAGTCATAGTCAATCAATCAATAATATAATAATACTTTTAGCAAAAATGTTTATTTTTAATTCACAATCTGTAGAAGCAATGAGAATAGAAAGGTTCAGAACTTTTGTAAAACATCACAGTACGGTTGAAATATATATGGCAAATAGAAATCCTATATGGATGGTGTTAAGAGATAGATGGGAGGTATTGAATAGAGTTGAAGGATGGGACTAATAACAAATAACAACAAATAATAACAAAGATAGCTAATAATGTAAGCATACTGTGTCCATAATAAGTATATAGGTTGTATGTTGGGAGCTTTTGGGAAAGAGCACAGTTAGAAAGATATGGCATTTAGAAGCAAACCGGATGGACATCATGAAAATGATCGGAGAGGTTGAGAGTAGAAGAGGTTCAGGAGCAAAAAAATAAATAAATATATATATATAGAATTATTGTAAAATTAACTCTGTCCATAAGGTGTAGATAGTAAGTATAGACCGGAAGTAGAGGCCTGGGCGTTGTTGTTCACTAATTTACTCCAAGTAGGGAAAGGATGGTGGGGTTGAAAAGTAATAAAGGGGAATATATATATAAAAAATAAAAATAAACATGGGGGATTGGAAGTGATGCAGACAATTACATTGATAGAAGATACAATCTATCTGCAATATTAAGCTGATCCATCCCCCCAAAAAATAAAAAATAAAAAAATAAAATAAAAATAACTTACAGAAGGCAGAAAAATTTCTCCCAAACCAAATATAAGTGTTGATATTAGTTGGCAGGGGTCTTTACTTCAACATGATTGTGTTTTGATGTATTTATAATACCTTTTAAGACTTTTTCTGGTAGATGTTTTCTAAGAGCCCTTTTCCATCTGTTTGACCATAATTCAAAGCCTTTGCTTATTCCAAATTGTTGAACGGAAAATTGTTGGAAAATGTATATATGCCTTAATATCTTAAAAATATAGACTTAGCTTTCATTTGACACCCAATTTGACATGATCCTATAAACTTTTAACATGTTGGTGTTCAACGTCAACGTCTATACCACGTTGGTTTAACGTAATTTCATTGAAATTACAACGTTCATTTAACCTGTGTGTGCTCAGTGGGGACCCTCTGCTTTCCATGAGTTTTTCCTTGGTGTTGGTATTTAACACTATACTATTCACACCATTTGTTGGTCACCAGATCGTTTTTAGTCATTATTTACTTAAATCATTTATAATTTAATCTCTTGATACCTCCCATTAGAATATCCCCCTGAGTGCATGACAGTAATACTAGGCCTTATATTCATCAGAAGCCCAGTAGAGGGAGCTACAATATCCCTATAACCCATTACAACTAACACCATAACTTTCCAGGTATTAGAAAATGTGTAATTTGCTCAGCTGAAATATGAGGATTCAATTCTTCCTTTCCAGTTTCTTTCTATATCTTCCTTCCCTCCACTGTTTCCCAATATCCCACTATACTACTTTCTCTGTTCCTTGCCAACTGTTGCTGTCTGTATCTCTCCACTAGGACTGCCCCTGTGCAGCAGGTTATAAATAAGAATCCAAGGAGTGCATCCCAGCAGCAGCAAGACATTCAGCCGTTGTGTTGTTTAAGCAGCTGCACACTGTCAGTCCAATCGTTCTATTAGAGAAGGAGGAGAACAGCTAGGGGGGAGCTGGGGTGGAAAGGAGGAGGAGTGGAGGGGGTGGAGGGGCCGGGGTGAGTCAGGGAGTAGACTTGTCCCTGGCAGCCTCCAGGGAGAGTATGCTGGGAGAGCCAGACTGTGAGTGTGTGAGGGGAAGAGACCACCAGTAGGCTTGGCAGTCTATATGATCCATGAAAAGGGTCATATTAGATTTAGTTGCAGGGTACGAGGTGGGTTGGGGTCAAAGTGACGGCTTATTATCAACAGACTCTCCAGTTAAAATGAGATTGGCTTGTCTATGGGTGAGTAATAGTAGAGAGGGCATCTTTAGAGATACTTTAGGACATGTATGAGTCTAACACAAGGTTCCATGTGAATTAGCCTGAAGGACAGGCAGTGATGACTCAAGGTTACCCTGAGGAGAATTGTCCTCTAATGCAACATGGAGTCTTCATCCATCAGTAACCCTTGCTTAGATAAAGGGACGTTATATTAGGCATTTCAGCTGGATATTTTGAGTGAAATTTGCCTAATGTCTCCCTTTCCCTCAGTACTGACCACGTCTAAACTTTCTTGTAACTCACTATCGTTAGATTCCTACCCATCAGTTTTGTCATTTATTGTCATCTAGAGTTCTGTTGTGGTCTCTGAGGGTTTTTTCCCGTTGGTTTACTCTTGATGCCTCAAGTACCAACCGTCTGGATACAGCAGGCCGTGACAGTCTAGCAAACATTTCTCATCAAGTGGCTGAACTCTCTATGTCGTTCAAGACTAGACTACAGGTCAGGTAAAAAAAAGAAAAGAAAGTTAATGCACAGCTATGCGAGAACTTAAAAAAGGGATGCAGCTGCTTTTAAGGCCAGACCGCTTGAAACTAATCAAACAGGAGGGTGATTTACGATGACAGGGTCACGGTTCAGCCTAGGATGCCGGGTCAGAGGCTCACACAGCCTGTTAGATGACTGCTAAAATAGACCTCTCCCACTGAGTCTATTTTTCTCACTCATCATATCTGTCATAGTGAAACAAGTGTTAATTTTAAAGTACTTTGAGTTTCCTTATTAGGCCTCTATTGTAATTATTTTGCCACTGATTGCTTATTCAAGGCATTTTGTCTCGTATGTTAACAGCTTTATAGAATGTTAATGAGGTGTTAGTTGCTTTAGATAAGTGTTTGGTTCTTACATGCCATACGTTCAATGGATTTTCAAGTCAAAAATAGTGAGGAGGTGCGAGGTCAGTTTGTTTCCATAGGACCAGCATTAACAACACTGTGACTGTAAACAGTCTATTCCACAGCCACTGAAGCTACTGTTGCAGAGACCTGCAGACTACTGACAGTGTTATTTTTGTGGACTGTCTGTGACTGTTGACTCTACTTTTGCGTCACAGTGGAACTGTGGTCACCCGTGGGCTATCAGGTCAATGATTCAAGGTCAACCAAGCCTTGGCCAACTAATGCATAAAGCCAGGGACAACTTCCCAGAGATGTGGCATGACATTTTTCGTGTTGCCCAGGGGCCTAGCAGAGGATGATGTAGGGAGAGAGTTGAACGAGGACAGAGGACCGTGCAGCAGTGTACGTTTTCCTCCCCACTTCCCCAGGGTTATGTGTTACAGTCAGAGCAATGCACTGCCCTCCAGTATGAGCAACCAAGCAAAGAAGGCCAAGGGAAAGTGACTAACAGGTGCTTATTACACACGTATTACAGACAACAGGAAAGCCTTGTAGTTAGGACACATTGGCTGGTGACCGTCACAAGGTTGCTAGGTGAAATGCAAACATATGGGAGTATAAAACCTTTCATCTCATGCTCATCCTCACCATAGATTAGGATGCTCCTCTATGAGGGTCAGTTGACTTCATTGCCCCTTGGCCAGTCTGTGGGTTGTTTGATGGGATAATGGAGAATTACTATATGCTTCGTCTCAAGTGCCTGCAAGTACTCAGGCAGGAAATTTATTTAATAACGGCTCATTTCATTTTTGTGGAAGAATGGTTTAGCAGGCCCTGGTAAACACTTACATGTTGTCCACAAGGGAGAAGCTGAATCCTTTATTGAGTTGAGACGTTATCGTATGATAAGTCCTGTGGAATGAACCTGCAAACTGGGAAGCATGTAGATATATCCATCTCTTACATATATCGTAACCACATACACACACATACTTGTAAGCTGTGTAGAGGAATGTGCTGGTGGGGTCCTCTCTCCGATGGACAGGGTCAGTATGAGCCTTAGCTCTCCCCTCCCAGGTTTGCTTACTCAGCCATAATAAACAGATATACTTTACACTTCTTTAAGAACAGTTACTCTCAGTGGCTCTGCGTTATAAGGCTTGTCATCACACAACCCTGTCTGTTTGAAAAGCTCCACCCATCAGATCACATTTAGGGCAAGGAAATGACCTGATATGTCTCCTTTTCTCTTTTCTCTCCTCTCTTCTCTCTTCTTCTTTTCTCTACTCTCCTCTCCTCTCTTCTCTCTTCTCTTCCCTAGTGTGGTTTCCTGTCTGGGGTTTAGGTACATATTGTGACCGACTGTGTAACGGATTGGCCCGATAACGTGCCTGGTAGTCTAAACAAGATCTATCCACACAACAAACATTCCAATTTAAGGCAGGGGAAAATGGTCCAGTCAATGCACACTAAGAAGGGGCAAAGGGAGGGAGCGTCTGTCAGACTGTAGTTTTAGATGGTTATCTAGTTCATATGTTTCTTCAAAGGACTACTATTTATCTCTCAACACACTGAAATTAAGTACAGGATGTCTGGGCATAAATTTGAGATATCTGTCTGTGTGTGCTCTGCAAATGGAGATATCTAATAGCTGGTCCATGGGAGAGTGTGTTTGCACACAGATCTTTATACCGCGATAGTAGGGTAGCTGTGAGGGCAACAGTGACTGTCCAAGTCCACATACTGTAGATGCCATGTATCATTTTGGTCTCAGTTTGGTCTTTGCAAGTGCTCGTCACTAGTAAGGATCCCCAGTCCGTTGGCAGTGGATCAATTACAGCAAAGTTCCTCAGTGGCGTAACTCTTTCACTCTTAAACGTCTCAGAGGCTATCAGACATTGTCTTTCACTCTATCTTAGTGATGAAAATAGAATAGTTTCTATTGGTGTCTCTCACAGCTGTGATAGGAAATCCTGTTCAGATATTGTCCATTAGTTAATGTGCCAGGTCTGGAGGGAAGCAAAAGTAATGAGGATAATAGCGGACGATATTGCCACTCTTATTTGCCATGTCTTCAATTTAGCCTACTAGAAAATGTGTGCCCTCAGGCTGGAAGGGAAGCAAAAGTTATTCCCCTACCTAAGAATAGTAAAGCCCCCTTTACTGGCTCAAATAGCCGACCAATCAGCCTGTTACTGTCACGTTCGTTGAATGACGGGTCAGACCAAGGCGCAGCGTGATATACGTACATGTTTATTAACTTATAAACACACGACAAAACAACAACCGAAACGAAACGTGAAGTCCAAGGTAGAACACACAACATACCTTACACGGAACACAACAAGATCCCACAACACAGGCAGGAAAACTGGCTGCCTAAGTATGATCCCCAATCAGAGACAACGAGCGACAGCTGCCTATGATTGGGAACCACACCCGGCCAAACATAGAAATACAAACCTAGAATTTTCACACCCTGACCAAACTAGCTAGAGTTCTATAGGCCAGGGCGTGACAGTACCCCCCCCACCCCCCCCCCCCCCCCCCAAAGTTGCGGACTCCGGCCGCACAAACCTGACTGAATAGGGGAGGGTCCGGGTGGGCTTCCAGCCTCGGTGGCGGCTCCGGCTCCGGAGTGGAGCCGCTGACCGGAGCTGGCTTGGGCACCGGTGGGGCGGACTGCTCTGGCTCCGGAGTGGAGCTGCTGACCGGAGCTGGACTGGGCACCGGTGGAGCAGACCGCTCTGGCTCCGGAGTGGAGCAACCGACCGGAGCTGGATCAGGCACCGGTGGAGCGGACTGCTCTGGCTCCAGAGTGGAGCCGCTGACCGGAGCTGGATCAGGCACCGGTGGAGCGGACTGCTCTGGCTCCGGAGTGGAGCCGCTGACCGGTGCCGGACCAGGCACCGGTGGAACGGGCACGGGCCGTGCCGGACTGGCGACGTGCACCACTGGCTTGGTGCGAGGAGTAGGAACAGGCCGGGCCGGACTGGCGACGCGCACCACTGGCTTGGTGCGAGGAGCAGGAACATGCCGGGCTGGACTGGCGACGCGCACCACTGGCTTGGTGCGAGGAGCAGGAACAGGCCGGGCCGGACTGGGAACACGCACCACTGGCTTGGTGCAAGGAGCAGGAACAGGCCGGGCCGGACTGGGAACACGCAACACTGGCTTGGTGCGGGGAGCAGGTACGGGGCGTACCGGACTGGGAACCGGCGCTGGAGGTCTATGACTGTCTCCGTCCTTTACACTCCGCGCCCCGTCCTCCTCCTGTGAGGACTCCTCCTTGAGCCCCCACGAGTGCAGTGGTCGGGGCTCCTCTCTGTCGCTCCCCGACCACCCTTTTAGCCCCCCCAAAAAAAATTCTTGGGGCTGTCTCTCCTTCTCCACCCTGATCCCTTTCAGGGCCTCCATCTGCCTTGCCAGATCCTCTCTTATCTCCCGCCAAGTCCATACTCTCTGCTCCTCCTGGGCACGCTGCTTGGTCCATTGGTGGTGGGTGGGATCTTCTGTCACGTTTGTTGAATGACGGGTCAGACCAAGGCGCAGCGTGATATACGTACATGTTTATTAACTTATAAACACACGACAAAACAACAACCGAAACGTGAAGTCCAAGGTAGAACACACAACATACCTTACACGGAAACAACAAGATCCCACAACACAGGCAGGAAAACTGGCTGCCTAAGTATGATCCCCAATCAGAGACAACGAGCGACAGCTGCCTCTGATTGGGAACCACACCCGGCCAAACATAGAAATACAAACCTAGAATATTCACACCCTGACCAAACTAGCTGGAGTTCTATAGGCCAGGGCGTGACAGTTACCAACCCTTAGTAAACATTTGGAAAAAAATGTTTGTTGACCAGATACAATGCTATTTTACAGTAAACAAATTGACAACAGACTTTCAGCACGCTTATAGGGAAGGACATTCAACAAGCACAGCACTTACACAAATGACTGATGATTGGCTGAGAGAAATTGATGATGAAAAGATTGTGGGGGCAGTTTTTGACATTATCGATCATAGTCTGCAGCTGGAAAAACGTATGTGTTTTGGCTTTACACCCCCTGCTATATTGTGGATAAAGAGTTACCTGTCTAACAGAACACAGAGGGTGTTCTTTAATGGAAGCCTCTCCAACATAATCCAGGTAGAATCAGAAATTCCCCTGGGCAGCTGTCTAGGCGCCTTACTTTATTCAATCTTTACTAACAACATGCCACTTGCTTTGAGTAAAGCCAGTATGTCTATGTATGCGAATGACTCAACACTATACACGTCAGCAAAGAGCTGCAGTTAGTTTCAGAATGGGTGGCAAGGAATAAATTAGTCCTAAATATTTCAAAAACTAAAAGCATTGTATTTGGGCCAAATCATTCACTAAACCCTAAACCTCAACTAAATCTTGTAATGAATAATGTGGAAATTGAGCAAGTTGAGGAGACTAAACTGCTTGGAGCAACCCTGGATTGTAATCTGTCATGGTCAAAACATGTTGATACAACAGTAGCAAAAATGGGGAGTAGTCTGTCCATAATAAAGCGCTGCTCTGCTTGTCAACAAGGCAGGTCCTACAGGCCCTAATTCTGTCGCACCTGGACTACTGTTCAGTCGTGTGGTCAGGTGCCACAAAGACGGACTTAGGAAAATTGCAATTGGCTCAGAACAGGGCAGCGCGGCTGGCCATTAAATGTACACGGAGAGCTAACATTAATGATATGCATGTCAGTCTCTCATGGCTCAAAGTGGAAGAGAGATTGACTTCATCACTACTTGTTTTTGTTATAGGGGTTGACAAGCTGAATGCACCGAGCAGTCTGTTTAAACTACTAGCACACAGCTCGGACACTCCCACAAGACATGCCCCTGTAGGTCCCCTGTAGCTCAGTTGGTAGAGCATGGCGCTTGCAACGCCAGGGTTGTGGGTTCGTTTCCCACGGGGGGCCAGTATGAAAATGTATGCACTCACTAACTGTAAGTCGCTCTGGATAAGAGCGTCTGCTAAATTATAAAAAATGTAATGCCACCAGAGGTCTCTTTACAATCCCTAAGTCCAGAACAGAGTATGGGAGGTGCACAGTACTACATAGAGCCATGACTACATGGAACTCTATTCCACGTCAGGTAACTGATGCAAGCAGTATAATCAGATAAAAAATACACCTTATGGAACAGCGGGGGCTGTGAAGAGACACACACACAGGTACAGACACACGCATACGCACACACACGCTAGCACAAACACTCTACATACATGTACACTGTAATATTGTTGTATAGTGGTATCATACATTTTATGTGGTGGTGTGACAGTGTTATATGATGTACTGTTTTATCTTTTGTTTTATGTGTAATATAAGTGTCTTAATGTGTTTGGACCCCAGGAAGAGTAGCTGATGCCTTGGCAGCAGCTAATGGGGTTCCCTAATAAAATACAAATACAAATGTGAGGTCAAGGTAGCTGGTGAGAATGGAATTACCAATATTGAAGAAACCACAGCTAGTCCTCCTGAATGAAATCCTCTGTATCTATATCCACCATCTTCACATTCTCTCTGCTCACAGTGCCATAATAACAAGGAGATTTAGTTAATAAGGAATGGAAAAGTGGGAAAGGTGCGTGTGTGAGAGAGAGGAGGAGAGAGAGAGAGAGAGAGTAGGGAGGGGGGGGAGAGAGGAGAGACGAGAGAGGGAGAGCGAGAGAGATAGAGAGAGACGACGAGCGGGAGAGGGATAGAAGAGAGAGCGAGTGAGGGGATGGCGGGAGAGATCCTCTTCTAGGTGGAGATAGGGAGGGCGGCGAAGAGCGAGACGGAGCGATTTGAGTGCGCTAGGATGCGAGGGCGAGAGCGAAGAAGGAGAGCAAGAGCTCGATGGAGGGTGGGGCGAGAGTTACTCTGCTCTCTCTCTACGCTCTACTCTCTCTCTCTCTCTCTCTTCGCTCTCTCTCTCTCCTCGCTCATTCTCGCTCTCTCGTTCTCTCTCTGCCTCGCGCTTTATGCTTGCTCTCGTGCTCGCGGGTTAGATAAGCTCGAGAGTTCTCTGGCGCGCTCGAGATAGAGACGAGCAGAGAAGAGGGAGGGAGAGATGAGACGGAAGTTAAGAGTAACCCCAAAGAAAAGTAAGAAAGAATCTTGTGGGGATTTCCTTCTGAGAGGGAAAGCTTCTCCCCTCCCCTCTAACTCCCTCTCTCTCTTTCTCTCTTTCTCTCTCTCTCCCTCGCTCTTACATACTTTCTCTCATGAGCTGCATGTGTCATGCTGCCCCCTCTCAAACTGTGGGCAGACAAACATAGCACCAGGAGAGAGAAAGCAGACCGGGAGAGCTATTAGCAGCAGCAGAAGAACACCCGAGAGCTCCAAGATTTTTTAAACAATATTATTTTATTCAAGTTTACCTGTTGCTAAAAGTATAGTCCTCCTCACTAAGAAATGAGAGACAACGTGGATAGAATGGAGAATACTGTGGTCAGTTTGTCACCTTGTGAGACCCGCCTGTCTAAGGATTATTCTCCTGACTGGACTCTGTACATCCCTGCTTAACTGGATAACCAACACACTGTAGGAAACATGGTACTGTAACTGCTGCTCAACATGGCTTAATTTGACTGTATTTCATTCCATTTCATATGTGTGTATTTGTATTTTCAGTATTTGCTTTTTTTTATATGATTTTCATCATTTTGGAAATCATTTAAAAAATATATATTATAAATGTACATGTTTCAAATGTCTAAATTGGCCCCATAATCTCTGTCATTACAAACACACATGTAGGGCTTCCTGTTTGCACACATGGCTAGCTACACAGCAAAATGCTTTGACTCAAGGTGAGGGTTTCAGGTTACTGTGCATTCACAATTTCCCAGTGATTTCACAAAACACCCACTGAATCTGAGTCCAGCACATAGAACTGCACAAAGTATCCCTTTGTGAAAAAATAACTGAATGAATGTTTTGCTGTTTCAAGTGCTACTCAGGCTCTGGAGAGGGGATGGCTATATGTTTATATTCTTTATAGCTCAGGATGAGAGTACATTGGAGAGGTAGACTTAGGAACTGAAGTGACCATCATACCGGTGTGTTTCCATTGAATCACAACCTGAAAACAATAGTTATTTATTTAGCAGTATAAATGGATGTACTGTCTTGCCTGGTTACCTCAGTAAGCTCTTAAACATTGAGGTCACTCATGAAACACCATAAAATTCAGGCTCGCTGTGTACTTGTTATCTCTGTGATCATGCGAGGGAGGGAAAACTGCCAGTTTGAATAACACTATGTTCAGCTGTGACATAATTACAGGTAGGAGGATGAGTAAAGATGATGAAACTGATCCCCCACTTTAAATGAAATGTTTTTAAGCTCACTACTACTGCCATACTACTGGTCTGCCACCAACTTCAAGCCATTCTGCTGATCAAGGCATCATAATTAGTATTTGCACACAATAAATGCCACATTTGCAGAGCTTGTGAAACAACTAAATATAACGTCTGCTTCTCAGTGGCTCAGTGATGGTTGACAGTAGATCCACACAGATTAGGCCTGTGTTTATTTTCTCTCACTGTAATTTGGCATGTTCTCATGGAGGGCGTTAGCACATTCTGATCTGAGGTGGTGAACCAAGATGTTGAGATATTCTCTCAGAGTAATCTACTGGTATGTAATTGAATGCCTGTCTGTAAATTATGCTGTGTAATGCAGGATATTTGCCCTGAGCAGTTTGTGGGCCCCTGGCCCATTTACTTCAGGGAACATGTATCATGACTTTGTTCAGGTGTTATCAAGGAGAGGTTATCTTTAAATTCTGCTCTCTGTTGAATTACACTGAGTATACCAAACATTAGGAACACCTTCCTAAAATTGAGTTGCACCCCCACCCCCTTTTGCCCTCCGAACAGCCTCAGTCAGGGCAAGGATTCTACAAGGTGTCGAAAGCGTTCCACAGGGATGCTGGCCAATGTTGACGCCAATGCTTCCCACAGTTGTGTCAAGTTGGCTGGATGTCCTTTGGGTGGTGGACCATTCTTGATACACACAGGAAACTGTTGAGCAGGAAAAACGCAGCAGCGTTGCAGTTCATGATACAAACTGGTGCCCCTGGCACCTAATACCATGCCCTGTTCAAAGGCACTTAAATGTTTTGTCTTGCCCATTCACCCTCCGAATGTTACACACACACAATCCATGTCTCAATGGTCTCAAGGCTTAAAAATCCATCTTTAACCTGTCTCCTCCCCTTCATCTACACTGATTGAAGTGGATTTAACAAGTGACATCAATAAGGAATTATAGCTTTCACCTGGATTTACCTGTTAAGTCTATGTCATGGAAAGATCAGGTGTTCTTAATGTTTTGTATACTCAGTGTATATAGCTTGCTTATCAGTTTAGTTCCATGATTATGGGCACAAGCACAGTTTTTAAGGAGCCAATGTCAAAGCAGACATTTACGGACATTTACCTGGACAGTTTCATTAGCGTGTAAATGTGCAGCAGTCAGTCAGCTACACTCAGGGTAACCATTTATAGAACCCAAAAGACCCTAAACCTAGACAGATCCTGATTAAGTATCTGTAGTGATTCGACAGTGAGACCCTTCTGTTAACTGGCCTGTAAATTAAAACAATGTTACAGGGACATTGATTTATTTAGATCACAGATATGAATCTCATTTCTGCAACACCACACCAGTACATTTACAGTTATTAGTCTAAATCTGGGCACAAGCCCAAACACCACAGCTGATTGAGGTTACAAAGGAGGAAACTTGCTGGGTTTCTCTTCACAGTTGGCTGTGTTAGTTTGCATTATTTGCCATCTCTGTAAGACTAAATGCTCACCACCACCGGGACTGTATAATGACCAGGACTGGACTTTTCTTAATTACTCACATATTTTATTGAAGGAGTTGCCTTCTAAATACAACTACACTGTTAGAAAAAAGGGTTCCAAAATGGTTATTCGGCTGTCCTCATAGGAGAACCCTTCACACTGGGCACAGATGTCAATTCAACGTCTATTCCATGTTGGTTCAACATAATTTCATTGAAATGACGTGGACACAACGTTGATTCAACCATTGTGTGCTCAGTGGGTTTTTGGTTCCAGGTAGAACCCTTTTTGGTTCCAGGTACAACTCTTTTGGGTTCCATGTAGAACCCTCTGTGGAAAATGTATGAAAATGTATGCATTCACTAACTGTAAGTCGCTCTGGATAAGAGCGTCTGCTAAATGACTAAAATGTATATCTAAAATGAAAGGGTTTTACATGGAACCCAAAAGGGTTCTACCTGGAACCAAAATGGTTCTACCTGGAACCAAAAAGGGTTCTTCAAAGGGTTATCCTATGGGGACCGCCAAATAACATTTTTTTGGTTCTAGATAGCACCTTTTCTTCTAAGAGTGTAATGTGGCTTTATGTTGAAATCTCATCCTTTGGATGCATGGTAGCGACTTCTTAGCTTCTCAACTGAACAGACTCATAGCATCTTGGTTGGTTACTGACAGGCAGCTCATATCAACTAAACAATACACACTTTTGTCCTAATCTCCATTTTGGGGCATTCCTAAAAAGTCAGTATGTGTTTGTTGTTTAGTGGTTGCCATAGCAAGATATTATTAAGGCTAACCAAACAGTCACACAGAACTAACCCACCTAATAAAATGTTGAATAGAATCATGTGAATAATGTACCAGGATGTAGGATACCAAAGATACACAGGGTTGGATGCTATAGCAACCCTCTATTGGTCCAGCTGCAAAAGGATGTCCAGTTCACCATTAATTTGGGGTATTTGTGATCTCTTAGATTCTTACTGTAATAGACTAGTTTGGTAAACTGTGCCTGCCTGTCCTGGAGGACCACTGAGAATGATGTGTGGTGTCTGTACAGTCATCCTGGGGGTGGCTCACGGGACAGTGTTATCTCCTGATGACCAACAGAAAGCTGCCCCTCAGACATCACAAAGACAGTCTGGTCTAGGAGAGTCCAGACATTATCTCCACCCAATTTGTTGAACTTTTTTTTTTAATGACGTAAACACAGGAAATTGAGCTTTTGCCTATTTTAAGTTAAATTGGTGTCAGAAATTGCTCAGATGCTCTGCCAAATAGCATGATCCATGGACGTATTACAGAGACATTTTGTATACAAGATAATTCATACTGAAATACTTTAGGATACTTAAAAGGCGTCTTGGCCACCGGCTTAGAAGGAGTTGTTTGGGTTAGCTGTTTAATGAAGAGAAATGTTCAACTCTGAAATATCAGAATGTACTCTACCTCCACTGGGATATCCTAATGCAATAAACTGCAATCTGAAACAAGCCATTTATTTTAGAGACTGAGTGTGGGATGTGTATTTATTTAGTGCCCAGTGTTAGACCTCCTTCAGCAGAATGTCAGCACTCAGCAGTAGACCGTTAGGCAGGCTTGCTGTTTACACCCTCAGGGTGCTCTCGTTGCTCAGACATAACAGTAACCATGAGTCATGGCAGTGCTTGCTCTGCTATTGCCACTTTCCCACATTGCAGACCCTCGGCTGCTCTTTCATTTCAAACCACCAATGAATGACCTGTCATCCTTTCCTTAGGGCTTGTTTTCAAGCCTTGATAAGTAACCTGCCCTGCAGTGCTATTCTATGTGTGGAGATCAAGACTCATTCAACCATAGTATGACATAACACAAGGGCTTTACTCAGAGGCCCGTACAGATGTTGGAAAAGTGTTTTCAGGTCACAGGCATGTTCTAATGGGTCAGCCCCAGACCTGATTTTCTATTGACCCAACATAACATCAGGCCCTACCCTGCATCACATACCATAGATTCATACTATGAAGAACAAAACACATCTTTCATAGAAACTCCCTGGACCATGAAGCAGGTGTTTCTATCTCCTTCAGGGGCAGCAGAGTTTGACAATGATCCAACATTCATAAGATGAAAATCCCAAGTGTTTCCCAGCTACAGTAATCATCAATTGTAAATAATCATGAGCCCACCACTGTTGGCTCATTGACGTGTACCCAAAGGGTGTGGCAGAATTCTGACTGATCTGCTCCGGGTACATTTACTAGAGCTGTGGGGGCTCAGAGGGTGTCAAGTGTTACCACCGGATACAGGGGACCCCAGTCCAGTGTGATATCCCACCTCCTCTACACTTGGCTCTGGAACGGTCTGAGGCTCTGAGCTGTGGCCCAGTCATGCGAGAGGTGTAATGACCGTTGTCTTTGGAAAGATCAAGAGGGAGTGTCGTTTTGTATGCAGAACTGGTCCTTAGCCTTTCCATAGATTTGGGAGGGGGTTTTAGAGGAGGTCTAGTCTCTTGTGTCAGACTTAGGGTTGCAAAGCTAATGGTACTTTACCAAAGTTACTGGAAAATCTTCAGTAATTTGGGTAGTTAACAGAAAATATATGGCAATCTATCATAACTTTGGTAGTTTACACTAATATATAAGGTAGTATACATTTTTTAAACATGTGTCCATATTGTTCATGAGTTTCTAGTAGATAGACCTTATGGTTCAAGAGTAAATAGCATAATTCATGAAAAAAGCATCTAATCAACAATGACAATTTTTTCAATTAACTCTGCATCTCTTCCAACTATTGCATTTTTTCACAACTGTCACCAGTTTGATGTCAAAACATTTACAACAAATACATACTGACATAGTAAAATAAATAAAAGTGTGTAGAAAAAATATATAATGAGTATTTCATGCTAAACCCCTCATATTAAACACCAATGGTATTCACTAAGTTGATATTTAGGATAATGTTTTACAGCTTTGTCAATTTATTTTTTTAAATCATCGTATTTAGTTATTTCATATATTTTACATGTGATGAAGCCACACAGAGAGCCAGAGATAATTACAGACACCTGTTATAATCTGAAGTACCCAAAAGAGCCACTAGATGTTTTGTGATAGATAACATGAAATCCTTGAAAGATATCAAAATGTGGGTAGTTTACTGGTCAACTTTGAAGGTTTCCAGTAATATAACCTCCCTTCGCAACCCTAGTCACTGTTACATAAAAGTATACAAATCGAGCAGTCAGAGTGCAGATTGGGTTACTGGGTGCAGAGATTGGTGAAAGGTTTTTCTCCTGACCACCATAGACTAACAGATGGAGTTCTAATTAAGAGCTGGACAGGAAGTAGTCTAGTTAGCCAGATGAGGTCTGAGGGGATCGGTCTGGTCACATCCTGATACGCCCAGACTCTCCCTCCACCTCCACACCACAGCTGGGATACATTGACTTCTGTGGAGTGATCAGTGGAATGATCACAGTGGTATTTCTCTAATCAAAACAAACTCTTCAAGCACTGTGAGAAACTGAACAGAGATGCAAGTAGGCAACATATTTTCCCATTGAGGAAACAGACGTAGCCTATTGTTGATAAAAATCAACCCATCATTAAATGTTGCATATTTATTGAAATGCCTACTCTTTGTTGAAATATAATTGAAGCAAGAGGGTGGTGTCTAGTAACATTTGCCAGTCATTATATCCCTGCAATTATATTGAAATCAGTCTATGTAACTTGGTAAGGCATTGTAACCACATTGTACCAGAGACCATAGAACAATGTTTTCTCCTACAGAGGCTCTCAATTGAGATGAGAAACACGCACATGTACATTTACCTCCCACAGCCGACGCATGGCCTTCACAAAGCTAAATTAAGCAGGGCCTAAAAGTGGGTGATGGGCCACCACGGAGGAGGTCAGAGAGAATGTGAAACCATAAACCAGGCCTCTTCTCTAGCAGAGACCCCCAGTCTGTTTATGGATAATTGGTTTCTGCCTATATGATGCTTATGCTGCTCAAATGTCTCACATGATATTGTAGCCACCCTGACATCCACAGCAACTTTGCCCTCGTGTTGTAAACATCTGTCTCTGCTGAATGGTTATTGGATTGTTCTGTATGAAGGAAGAAGAAAAAAGGTGAGGTCTGAGATCTTATTGGAAAAATACTGAAGGATGCCAGGATCAAAGGATAGCAGACAATGGCGACTGTGTGTTTTATGACCTTATAGGCGTCACTAAAGCGTTTGTGAAGGGATGCAGTGCTGCTTTTAGATTTTCAAATCAGCGATATATGATACCGTAGCCATCAGAAAGTATTCACACCCCTTGACATATTCCACATTTTGTTGTGTTACAGCTTGAATTTAAAATGGATTAAATTGAGATTTTTTTTGTCACTGGCAATACCCCATAATGTCAAAGTGGAATTATGTTTTTACACATTTTTACCAAAAAAAAGAAAAAAAAGAACTGAAATGTCTTGAGTCAATAAGTGTTCAAACCCTTTGTTATGGCAAGCCTAAATAAGTTCAGGAGTAAAAATGTGCTTGACAAGTCACATAATAAATTGCATGGATTCCCTCTGTGTGCAATAATAGTGTTTAACATGATTTTTGAATTACTACCTCATCTCTGTATCCCACACATACAATTATCTGTAAGGTCCCTCAGCCGAGTAGTGAATTCCAAACACAGATTCAACCACAAAGACCAGGGAGGTTTCCCAATGCCTCTCAAAAGAGGGCACCTATTAGTAGATGGGTAAAAAAATAAAAAACAGACATTGAATATCCCTTTGAGCATTGTGAAATTATTAATTACACTTTGGATGATGTATCAATACATCCAGTCACTACAAAGATACAGGCGTCCTTCCTAACTCAGTTGCCAGAGAGGAAGGAAACCGCTCAGGGATTTCACCATGAGACCAATGGTGACTTTAAAACAGTTACAGGGTTTAATGGCTGTGATAGGAGAAAACAACATTGTAGTTACTCCACAAAACTAACCTAATTGACATAGTGAAAATAAGGAAGCCTGTACAGAATTTCAATATTCCAAAACATGCATCCTGTTTGCAACAAGGCACTGAAGTAATACTGAAAAAAATGTGGCAAAGCAATTCACTTCTTGTCCAGAATATAAAGTGTTATGTTTGGGGCAAATCCAATACAACACATTACTGTGGACCACTCTCCATATTTTCAAGCATAGTGGTGACTGCATCATGTTATGGGTAAGCTTGTAATCATTAAGGACTGGGGAGTTTTCAGGATAAAAAAGAAACGGAATAGAGCTAAGCACAGGCAGAATCCTAGAGGAAAACCTGGTTCAGTCTGCTTTCCACCAGACACTGGGAGATTCATTCACCTTTCAGCATGACAATAACCTAAAACACAATGCCAAATTGACACTGGAGTTGTTTACCAAGAAGACAGTGAATGTTCCTGAGTGGCTGAGTTACAGTTTTGACTGAAATCTACATGGAAATCTATGGCAAGACCTGAAAATGGTTATCTAGCAATGATCTACAACCAATTTGACAGAGCTTGAAGAATTTTGAAAATAATAATGGGCAAATATTTCACAATCCAGGTGTGGAAAGCTCTTACAGACTTACCCAGAAAGACTCGCAGTTGTAATCGCTGCCAAAGGTGTGTCTACAAAGTATTGACTCAGGGGTGTGAATACTTATGTAAATGAGATATATCTGTATTTCAAAAACATTGCAAGAATTTACGAAAACATGTTTTCACTTTGTCATTATGGTGTATTGTGTGTAAATGGGTGAGAGATAAAAATCTATTTAATCCATTTTGAATTCAGTCTGTAACACAACAAAATGTGGAATAAGTCAAGGGCTATGAATACTTTCTGAAGGTACTGTATGTGGGGAAAAAACTCCTGCCTGTATCTAATCTTTATCTCTAGCTTTTCTTGGTCATTTTCTTTGTTGTTGTTGAATATTTTAACTTTTGTTTGTGCTAACCTCAGGCCTGTCTCTTATGTTAATAGAACACTGAGTCTCTGGACAGGTCCATCCAGAACACTCTCTCAGCCCTCTTTCCCCCCTTCGAGGCCACAGCCCCCACCGTCCTGAGCCAGCTCTTCCAGGTAATAGAGGAACGTTACCGTGGAGACGCCCTCCAGTGTCTGCTGGACTTCCTCATCCCAGCCAAACACATCCTTGAGAGTGTTCAGCAGGCTGCCTGTGTGAGTCAACAGCATCAGAGCTATACTCATCAACACAGATGCACAGCTAAACAAAAAAAAGACATAACAGTTCACCATACACACCTACAGGCTCAAATAAAGACCACCTATACAAAACAAAGTTAGCTCAATTACAAAGCTTGCAACTGCCTTCAACTCCTCTCTGTCTTGTACTGCTAAGTGTAAAGACAAATTAAATGGTAAAGAAATGTCTGTCCTTTTCTCCCGTCAGGCCCAGTACTCTGATGTGGTGTTCCGCTGTGAGGGCTGGCCTCTGTGTCTGCATGAGAAGGTGGTGATCCAGCTGGCCCCGATCAACCCCCTATTGCTGTGCCCAGGGGATTTCTACTTGCAGGTGGCTCCCTTCTCTGAGCAGGCCGCCCGCATCGTGGTCTGGAGCCTGCTGGAGGAGGGACAGGGTCAGGAGGTGGAGGTGGAGGAGACACCCATCCCTGAGACCTCCTACCCCTGCATCTTCACTGAGGACTGGCTAGGGGACCTCAACCAAGGACGCCATGGTACTCCACTTAGCCACTGTATCCTCTCCACAGACCAGGGCATGGTGAAGGTGCCATGGGCGCAGGTGACTCTTCCTGAGTTTGTGGATAAACCCAGAACTATGGCCTCATCATCTCTTCCCCTGGCTGCTGTTCAACAGGAGGTAGTGCCAGGGCCCGGGCCCTCATTGGTGCTGCCTCACCCTGCCCCTGCGTACTCTGTGGAGACTAGGATCTCTCCTGCTAAACATGGCATTGCTGTGTCGCTGCGTCTGGTGGACAGTAACTGCTCCAGGCTGGTTAAGGTGGATCAGGATGGGCCTGTGGCTAAGCCCATAGGCTGGGTGTCTCCCAACACATGGGACAGCCGCAGCAACAACACCTCTGAGGTTGAGGGGGAATACGTAGACTTGGTGGATTTCACTAAAGAGAAAGAAGCATTGCTCCTTAGTGGGGCTCACAGTCACAAACACCCCAGAGCGCTCATGTTTAGGCCTGTTCCACTTAACAGGCCTGGTGTTCCTCTGGCTCCAGCCCTGCCCCCGTCCTTGGCCCCAGCCCTGGCCCCCAACTGGCCCATCAGGGAACCCTCACACTGCGGCCGGACCATCCAGTCCTCCGAGGAGTCCCCCTGCACCCCTTGCATGAGGAGGAGAATGGGCCAGGTGTCCAAAGCACAGGAGCTCAGGTGCCGGTACAGGGAGTCTTACCATTCAGCACTGCAGAATCCTGTTACCTTTGAGAGAGACAATAGACTGAATACACTGGCAGTTCTGGAGGAGGCTAGTCCATGTGAGGGGAGGCTGGAACCAGAGGGTAAAGAACTATGTCCTGGTGTCTCCCAGCAGTGCTGCCATCCAGACCCAGGACATCATGACCAGACTCCCCCTGGAGAAAGCAACACTATATCCAGTGGAATTCTACAAGGCCTGAGTGACACTATAGAGAACGATGGGAGATGTCCCTCTTCTCTGTCGACCACTGTTGTGGACACATCAGAGAATTGTGAAGTAGTGATACAAGGAAGAAAAATTAGGAGGGATATTGTCTCATCTACAGAGATGATTCCTAGCTTACATGTAGTGAAATGTAAAAACGCCACAGCTTTTGGACTGGTTTCCCCAAAGATGAACAGGCAGAGACTGCCCAAAGGTAAGAGATCTACAGCATGAAATATGTTTGTTATTCTGTAATATTTCAAATCAAATCAAATTGTATTTGTCACATGTGCCGAATACAACAAGTGTAGACCTTACAGTGAAATGCTTACTTACAAGCCCTTAACCAACAATGCAGTTTTAAGAAAAATAAGCATTAAGTAAAACATAGATGAGTAAAAAAATAAAATTAAAAATAATTAAAGAGCAGCAGTAAAAGTAGCGAGGCTATATACAGGGGGTACAGGTACAGAGTCAATGTGCGGGGGCACAGGTTAGTCGAGGTAATTGAGGTAATATGTACAGTACCGGTCAAAAGTTTCCAGGGTTTTTCTTTATTTTTACTATTTTCTACATTGTAGAATAACCGTGAAGACATCAAAACTATGAAATAACACATATGGAATCATGTAGTAACCAAAAAAGTGTTAAACAAATCAAAATATATTTTTGATTTTTGATTCTTCAAAGTAGCCACCCTTTGCCTTGATGACAGCTTTGCACACTCTTGGCATTCTCTCAACCAGCTTGACCTGGAATGCTTTTCCAACAGCCTTGAAGGAGTTCCCACATATGCTGAGCACTTGTTGGTTGCTTATCCTTCACTCTGCGGTCCAACTCATCCCAAACCATCTCAATTGGGTTGAGGTTGGGGGATTGTGGAGGCCAGGTCATCTGATGCAGCACTCCATCACTCTCCTTCTTGATCAAATAGCCCTTACACAGCCTGGAGGTGTGTTTTGGGTCATTGTCCTGTTGAAAAACAAATGACAGTCCCACTAAGCGCAAACCAGATGGGATGGCGTATCACTGCAGAATGCTGTGGTAGCCATGCTGGTTAAGTGTGCCTTGAATTCTAAATAAATCACAGACAATGTCACCAGCAAAGCATCCCCACACCATCACACCTCCTCCTCCATGCTGCACGGTGGGAACCCCACATGCGGAGATCATCCGTTCACCTACTCTGCGTCTCACAAAGACACACCGGTTGGAACCAATAATCTCAAATTTGGACTCATCAGACCAAAGGAAAGATTTATGTCCATTGCTCGTGTTTCTTGGCCCAAGCAAGTCTCTTCTTATTATGTGTGTCCTTTAGTAGAGGTTTCTTTGCAGCAATTTGACCATGAAGGCCTGATTCACGCAGTCTCCTCTGAACAGTTGATGTTGAGATGTATCTGTTACTTGAACTCTGTGATGCATTTATTTGGGCTGCAATTTCTGAGGCTGGTAACTCTAATGATCTTATCCTCTGGAGCAGAGGTAACTCTGGGTCTTCCTTTCCTGTGGCGGTCCTCATGAGAGCCAGTTTCATCATAGCGCTTGATGGTTTTTGCAACTGCACTTGAAGAAACTTTCAAAGTTCTTGAAATGTTCTGGATTGACTGACCTTCATGTCTTAAAGTAATGATGCACTGTCGTTTCTCTTTGCTTATTTGAGCTGCTCTTGCCATAATATGGACTTGGTCTTTTACCAAATAGGGCTATCTTCTGTATACCACTCCTACCTTGTCACAACACAACTGATTGGCTAAAACGCATTAAGAAGGAAATAAATTCCACAAAATAACTTTTAAGAAGGCACACCTGTTCATTGAAATGTATTCCAGGTGACTACCTCATAAAGCTGGTTGAGAGAATGCCAAGAGTGTGCAAAGCTGTCATCAAGGCAAAGGGTGGCTATTTGAAGAATCTCAAATAAAAATATATTTTGATTTGTTTAGCACTTTTTGGGTTATTACATGATTCCATATGTGTTATTTCATAGTTTTGATGTCTTCACTATTATTATACAATGTAAAAAATAGTAAAAATAAAGAAAAAGCCTTAAATGAGTAGGTGTGTCCAAACTTTTGACTGGTAGTGTACATGTAGGTAGAGTTAAAGTGACTATGCATAGATAATAAACAGAGTAGCAGCAGCGTAAAAGAGGGGGGGGGGGGGGGGGGGGGGGGGAATGCAAATAGTCCGGGTAGCCATTTGATTAGCTGTTCAGGAGTCTTATGGCTTCTGGGTAGAAGCTGTTAAGAAGCCTTTTGGACCTAGACATGGCGCTCCGGTAACGCTTGCTGTGCGGTTGCAGAGAGAACAGTCTATGACTAGGGTGGCTGGAGTCTTTGACAATTTTTTGGGCTTTCCTCTGACATCGAGTTCCTGGATGGCAGGAAGCTTGGCCCCAGTGATGTACTGGGCCGTACGCACTACCCTCTGTTGCCATACCAGGCAGTGATGCAACCAGTCAGGATGCTCTCGATAGTGCAGCTGTAGAACTTTTTGAGGATCTGATGAGCAATGCCAAATCTTTTCAGTCTCCTGAGGGGGAATAGGCTTTGTCGTGCCCTCTTCACAACTGTCTTGTTGTGTTTGGACCATGATAGTTTGTTGGTGATGTGGACACCAAGGAACTTGAAGATCTCAACCTGCTCCTCTACAGCCCCGTCGATGAGAATGGGGGTGTGCTCGGTCCTCTTCTTTTTCCTGTAGTCCAAAATCATCTCCTTTGTCTTGATCACATTGAGGGAGAGGTTGTTATCCTGGCACCACAGGTCTCTGACCTCCTCCCTATTGGCTGGCTCATCGTTGTCGGTGATCAGGCCTACCACTGTTGTGTCGTCGGGCAAACTTAATGATGGTGTTGGAGTCGTGCCTTGCCATACAGTCATGGGTGAAGAGGGAGTACAGGAGGGGACTGAGCACGCACCGCTGAGGGGCCCCCGTGTTGAGGATCAGCATGGCAGATGTGTTGTTACCTACCCTTACCACCTGGGGGCGGCCCGTCAGGAAGTCCAGGATCCAGTTGCAGAAGGAGGTGTTTAGTCCCAGCGTCCTTTTTTAAACACAATTATTTATTACATCCCTCTGTATCATCCTTCCTCCCTAAAGATGTCTCCCAGGCTGGCCAACCCTCCATGCCTGTTAGAAACGGACACCAGACCCCTCCACCGGCCCCACCCCCTGAGACAACTCAACAGCCCCCGGGTCACTATGCTGTGTCCAGGTCTAATGTCCAGGCACCAGAGTCAGCAGAACCCAGCACTCACCCCCTCCAGATGGGAATAGCATGTCTTACTGGTATGGAAACCCCCCTTACATGTTTTGCCTTAGAGACAGAGGTGGATGACATCTCTGTCCAGGGAAATATCCTCACGTTCCCCTCTCCCATACTCAGGTGGCAGAGACAGGACGGGTCGGTTGGTGGTTGAGGTTTACGGTGACCAGGAAGGCTGGAGATCTCCTTCAGTGTCTAGTCTGGAACTCTGCAAACTCCTGCTCTACCTCCACTCTGTAATCAGGTATATATGAGACCCCCTGGTCTCTCTCTGTAGCCTGAACCACTGCATTGTATTATTAATTCATTGTTTTCATCTTCATAATTTCTAGGAGAGAACTAAGAGAACTTGGAATGACACTAGTTATTGATGCTCGGCAGAATCCACCTCCATCACAGTTCAATAAGGCCTTGTTGATGCTTCAGGTAAGAAAGACTTGTCATCTTCCTCGTCATATTGGTATCAGCACTACACAAAATCACCACAAGAGGATAGCAACTAGCTAAAAATGACACTGAACTCAACTAAACTTATTTATTATTTTCTTCACTCCCCTGATTTGTGCTCAGCTTTACCTGCAGGTATAGGCTAATGCATTTACTCATACCTATTTATTGCTGTGAGGTCTCATATTTTGAATATGTTATAGGAGCAGATTCCCCATGCAGTACACAGTGTCCTTATTCTGGTGGAGAAAGAGAGCTGCCATCGTCCAGAGAAATGTCCTGGACAACGGGTCAGATCTGAACCAAGGGTTTCCTCTAATGATTTCCATCAGGCTTATAATTTCATAAACAGTTACTGCATTTATTCTGGGAGAATTGCTGTCTGATGTAACTGACTGTGCCATTCGCTGTCTATAAATAGATTGATGTAGTGACATCACTGAAGGCGTTGCACAAGATGGTGGAGGGGAGCCAGTTGACCTACGGCCTAGAGGGCACCCTGCCCTACAGCCACCAGGACTGGTTGCAGCTCCATCAGGTAGACCCCTAGAGGGCACCCTGCCCTACAGCCACTAGGACTGACTGCAGCTCCATCAGGTAGACCCCTAGAGGGCACCCTGCCCTACAGCCACCAGGACTGGTTGCAGCTCCACCAGGTAGACCCCTAGAGGGCACCCTGCCCTACAGCCACCAGGACTGGTTGCAGCTCCATCAGGTAGACCCCTAGAGGGCACCCTGCCCTACAGCCACTAGGACTGACTGCAGCTCCATCAGGTAGACCCCTAGAGGGCACCCTGCCCTACAGCCACTAGGACTGACTGCAGCTCCATCATGTGGGACAGTTAGAGCAATAGACAGACACTGGAGAACTGTTGTTTGTTGTTGTGCTTTGATGTCTGATGAACAGTACATTTGTCTTTCAGAAACTTCATCCCTTCATGTCAGATCTACAGGAGGCTTCAGGTTTGCTACTGAGGGCCATCAGGAAACTAGAGGGAGGTCGTAAGATTGACAAAGTGCAGGTAATGAATTTAACCTTGACCGTGACGACACTGTATTACTGAAAACATGTTGGATTGGACTGAGGTTCTTATTATCCTGAAACCCTTCTCTCCATGTGTGGCAGGATGTACAGAGGTGTATTCTAGAACAGAGAACACTGATGAAGGATGTTCTGGAGGACAACCGGTTGGTCGCTCTGCAAAGGGAGGGCGGAGCCATGCTGGCAAGGCTGAGGAGGGAGAGTGACCTCAGATACTCTCACTATGAGGATTACAGGTATACTGACTGTCACTGTTTAGTATGGCTGGGCCAATTGAGAGGCTCCTTCACAAAATGATTATCAATGTATTATTCCCTTGACCTCTGACCTCTCTGTGCAGTGATGCTGTAGACTCTGTGACCTGTATGTACAACCATGTAGAGGAGCAGGCCCATGTGCTGGTGCAAAGATCCAACATGTCCCTGGAGCACCTTGAATACCTGCTCCAACTCAGAGAAATGGAGGGCCACTTCTCTAAGGTACATTCAGAGGCTCCTCATATGCATACTGTATACCCATTATGTAAGGTTCATCCAGGGGCTGTTCTTGTAAGAACGATGGCATGATAATAACTAATTGACTATATGACTAAGTCATGTTTTGGAGTATAAAATAATGATGCTCCTCCTCCTCATGTAGATCAGGGAATGGTTTGATGCCGAAGGGGAACGGCTGTTGCTGGAGGCAGAATCGGTGGAGGACTCCAGAGAAAGAGTTGCGCATACTCTCCAGAGTTTCAGTGTATTCCTCTCTGAAGCCAATGTAAGTCTGACTTTCTCCATTCACTCTCTCTCCACCACACCAGGCAAAGTGGTGACACTGTTTCCTACTTGTTTCATTGGAATCCACTTATTTAATTTGTCTGTTACTATCTTTTAGGAGCAGAAGCACCAGGTTATGGCCCTGTTGACAGAGGCAGAGAAGATCCAGGGCCCATCTCCATACCCTGAGACTGAGGTGTTCAGGACCATGGTGTGCACTTTCAAGTTTGGTCTGGCTGACTTCCTCTCACGGGCGGATAGGTGCCGCAGTGAGCTGGAGACTATGGTCTCTGTGTGCAACTTCTGTGAACAGGTTGGTGGGATGAGTTGTTCCACAATTGCTGTTTACGTCTTTTTATACAGCATATATTGATGTTGACATGTTGTAGGGATATAGGAAAAAGTAATGAAACTTTAATGACTATCACCTCTCAGTGCCTCTTTCGGGGTTTTTGAATAGGTATTCTGCCTCTTTCTTCTAGGCTACTGAGCTGGCCAAAGACTGCAGACAATACCTGGACCAGGAGCAGGTTGGCAGACACCCAGAGACGGATGATGTCTCTACACTCCAGATGTACCAGGAGAGCTTTGTCCAGTTCTCCCCAGAGCGCTTCCAGGAGGTGAAGGCCCAGGCGTGTGCTCTGAGGGGCTCCAGGGGCATGCGGGTGTGGAACGTAGCCTGGCTCAAGTGTCAGGAGGTCAGACAGCAACTGGAGGAGAGACTGCAGGATGTGGAGAGGGCCTTGAGGAACACAGGCCCCTGGCAAGAACAACATAGACCTGGTGAGGATCAGGCCACGGCTCAGACAGTGACTCATCATGATAGAGCTCTGTTACTGCCCAGACCTGGTCCACCACACTGGTACAATCCCCCAACAGGCTCTATGGTGGGAAGGTATCATGGGACCTTGGAGAGCAGGAACAACTCTGTGACCTGCTGTAATATCAACTTCAAGTATGAGAATAACAGACCTTGTAAAGGGTCAAAGGCCACCACCGTGCAGGCCTCTCCCAACATCAAATCCATTAGGAGAGCGGAGAGGGAGCCCAGCAGGAGAGAGGCCTGTCGAGGAAGGAGCGGAGAGGCCGCCACCCTTGCAGACTCACAGACGGTGGGCTGTGAGTGGTTCCCGTGGCAACGTGGGGACCTGGGCCGGTCCATGAGCGAGGACTCGTGTGCGAGCGCCATGTCCAGTCAGTCTGAGGCTCGGGTCCAGACACCATCCTGCTCCCACGGGCAACCCTCCTGCCGGATCCTGCAGGCCGCTCAAAAGTTCCAGATCTCACGGCATGGCAGCTTCTGCTCAGCGGAGTCCTGTAGTGGCCGAGAGGGGAATACTAGCTCATCAGTGAGGAGGTGTAAGGGAACAACATCTCTAGGAAGTCCAGAGGAGAACGCTGGCAGTGTACTGTAAGTTACTAATCGAGGAAGACCTTCACCTTAGAACGACTCAATGTATTTTTATCCTTCTGTGCTTCATCTATTTTTTTCCTGTCTCTAAGCTTGCACTGAAGTGACACAGGTACATTACATACTTATTTGGACTAAACATGAGAGCTTGTGTTTGGCTGTGTTGTTGGTGTAACTTTATATCTCTGTAGGAAGCTGCAGAGGATCATGGAGGAGCTGCTGTTAACAGAGAGGGAGTATGTGCGCTCCCTGGGCTACATCCTGACGCACTACCTCCCACTGCTGGAGAGGACTGACGTGCCTCAGGACCTGCGGGGCAAACGTGGAGTGATATTTGGAAACCTGGAGAAACTGTATGACTTCCACAGCCATTTCTTCCTCAGGGAGCTGGAGGCCTGTCAGACAGAACCCTTAGGAGTGGCTCGCTGCTTCCTAAGACACGTGAGTTACAGTTTGCCTGCTCATGTCTCTTAATTCAAAATTTAAGCTTGAGCTCTATAACTCTGTTGATTTGTTGAATTTGCTACTGAATTTGATACCTTGAATATTCCTGTTGTGCTGTAAACTCTCCCCTCTATATGCAGAGAGACAGTTTAGGCCTTTATGCTCTCTACAGCAAGAACAAGCCTCAGTCAGACGCCTTAATCCTTCACCATCGCCATGACATCTTCAAGGTGAGGCACTCCCATCAATACTCAGTGTCAAAGATCAATGGTCAATTCCTATCAATGCTCTCGCCATCCCTCCTGTGATCAATTATCTGTGCCGTCTCCTCCCACCCCAGAGGAAGCAGCAGGAGCTGGGGGACCACATGGACCTGTCCTCCTACCTGCTGAGGCCCATCCAGAGGATCAGTAAGTACAGCCTGCTTCTGCAGGACATGCTGGGGGTGTGTGGGCCTCAGAGAGACAGGGACAGGGAAGAGCTCCAGGCTGCAGTCGATGTGGTCCGCTTCCAGATGCGACATAGCAATGACCTCCTCACCATGGACGCCATCCAGGACTGTGATGTAAGTTTACCATCCATCTCCAAAATAATGTGTAACTTATGAACAGCTGTCTAAATGGGGGGTTAATGGGGGTGTATAAGGAAATGATCACCTATTATTGTATAAACAGTATCAAGGATTTTCAGGAATAAACATGGTTGTCTTTTTCTCTACTCCTCCCCCTCCAGGTGAATCTGAAGGAGCAGGGCCAGCTGATTCGCCAGGATGAGTTCATCGTGTTCTTCAGAAAGAAGAAGTGCTTCCGTCGTATCTTCCTCTTCCAGGATCTCATTCTCTTCAGCAAGACCAAGAAGACAGATGTGGGCAATGATGTGTACATCTACAAACAATCTTTCAAAGTGTGTATACAACATTCTTTTTTTTTTTGTGAACAACCGTAAAACACCCCATTTTCAGAATACATTTGTAGTATTGTTTTCATTGCAATCTTACAGGCCTTTATATTTGCTAAACAAAGACCAAATCATCCAGCCCTTATGTTGAAATTGGTAACAGAAAGCAGTGTTTATTTAGTCTTTCTTTCTTTAGCCTTTCTTTCACTTCTGTTTCTGTCTAGACGTCTGATATCGGGATGACACATAACTCTGGAGAGAGTGGTCTGTGTTTTGAGATCTGGGTCCGGAGGAGGAAGTCCCAGGACACGTACACTCTGAAGGCTGACAGGGCAGAGGTGAAGAGGTCCTGGACCAGAGACCTGGAGCAGATTCTCTGGGAACAAGCTGCCTACAGCAGAGGTTAAGCCTCCATTCTGTATATATCCTGTCAATCACTATTCATGGTCTTTTATCAACTGTCTACTTCAAATGTGATTTTTAAGTCATAGACGATATTTGTTTGTTCCTCTAGCCGACCTCTGTGTCTGTAATTATTGATAGATTTTCTTTAGGGGGTGCAATTGTTAACAAATACATCATATTGATGTTTTGGTAAAGTGTGTTAAAGGGTGTTTGGTGTGTTGTAGAGCTGCGGATGCAGGAGAGGGTGTTCAATGGGATGGGGAGGAAACCTTTCATGGACATCCAGCCTAGCGAGGCAGCAATCTGTGAGAGGACCGTCAACTGTGTCCTGCTAGGAAGAGGTATAAAGTCCACAGCCAAGTCCCAAGTCCCATACCCATGAACTGACAACACAAATGTGTAATGTACTCACTGACTGAATTGTCTCTTTCCTTGGTCAGCCCTGGTGCCGTCTTGTCCACAAACAGATCTTGAATTTCTCCGGCCCAACTCCATTGGTTCAGGCAGTAGTGCCTCTACCTCCTGCAGCCACTCATCTTCCTCCTCTGGACGAGGTTCATTACCTCCGGTTCGTTACCCTGGTAACCAGACACAAGGTGGGGAGACCAATCATATGGTCTATTCTTTCCCGGCGACTGTGACGGTGACGGAAGAGGATCTCAGTAATCATCATAATCACCAGAAACAAAACCTTAATCTCAGTGAGTTTTCTTGTTCTTGGATGGTACATGACTGAAACTAACAGACATACAGTATTTTACTCTTGATATGTGCAAGCATGTGTCTAAACCTGAGTGATGCCATATCTACATACCTGTTGATATTCCAGTGGGCTGCACAGAGTCGTCGGGTGAGAGTGCCAGTGTGTTCATCAGCTCGGAGCGCAGCTGCCTCTCTGCCATTTGTGGAGAGGTGGAGGACTCGTCATCAGTCACGTCCCAGAGTTCCCAGTCCCATGTCACCCAGAGAACAGCAGCACCCAGTCTCAGGAAGAACAGCTCACCTGCTACCATCAGGAAGAAGCCCTCCATCGCTCCCAAACCACCAGCGCTGGCTGCTCCTCAGAGCCTGCAAAAGGTGTGGTGAATTGATGTGATCAAGCCAGTAATTGGACCTAATTGTAAACCTTCATAATAATTACACTGTACATTTTCAAATGGATGAATTTAGTTACATTTAGTATATTCCATCTCTATGAAGATCAAAGAAAACTGATAGCCAATACTTTCTTCACAGGGCAAAGAAATGGTTGCAATAGGAAAATCAACAGAAGTTTAACCTGTGGATTCAACGGGTGAGTTGAAACCAAATACAGTACTTTTCATTGCCATATACGGGGCATAGATGTGCAATGTAGTTGTTTAACATATTATGGGATTGATTTTCTTCTAGATGGTTTTATCCAGTCAGCCTACTGAGAACATGCTATGGATCTCTGAGGAGTGATGATGGAGTGCAGTCAAGCTGACCATTCTGGCAAGAAGAAAGTTTGAATTAAAATTGTTTTTGATAACAGATACAGTAACTAGGACCTCTAGTTGAAAAGCACTGAAGAGAAAGTCACTTTTGTTTTTAAAGAGCTACTGTATCTGGAATATTCTAGCTGAAATATCATGAAAATGAACACCTGATGGACTGTGGTTAGTTTAAAGGGCTTATGGTGTCCATTCATCTGATATACTACTTAAGCAACCACTTCTTGATCAACTACTGCTTTAACTGAACGACTATGCGTTTGCCATCATTGGCTCATAGAACTGACTACCTTTTTTCTTGTAATATGATTAATATTTCAGCTATGAATTTCAATGTTACAAATTTATTTGGAATTTGACACATCCTTCCCTTGTGATGTTGAGTCTCTTGATTACCCAATTTTTACACACATTTAACGCTGTTTATAATAACAATGTAGACATTGTCAAACTCAAACAACTGGCGAAAGAAACATCAGTCTTGTTCCCATCAGTTTTCTCTGCAGGCTCAGGGCAACTTGTCAGTGGCATGCTTAGATATGATTTGCTGCCCAGACAGGTAAATAGATTTGGGATCAACTATCCAGGGTCAAAATAAGCCCACTGACAGGTGGGAAAGCAGAGTAGCCAATCGAGGATTTGGACAATGCGCCATTTAAGGTAATTTCGGATTAAGCCAACATATGCAGCGTTTACCATGAATGTGGTCTCCGTGAACACAGGAATATTGCTTTTAAAACGTGCATTGTGGAGAAATTGAATCCCGGCCTTAATCTATTTTTTCCATTTGGACAGAAGGCTCTGTGAATATATTCTCTGGAAAGGGCGAACACCACTAACTGGCAATTATTTAAGGGTCCGTCTGGCATTCTCAACTCATCAGAAACCACACATTTCTGACTGAGTATTATCCGGTTCAGTCAACATTTTAGAAGAAATGGGAACAACTTCATTCACTGGAAAGTGAATCTTGCCACATCAAGTGGTCATAGGTCATGACTAAACCTTGTGACCTGACTGACTGAGCATAGCCCTTCTGGTCAGCACATAGCCATCGGTTAAACTGTCTGTATCAGATAACAACACTGTTGTGTAGGCCAGTGGTTCCTAACTCCGGTCCTCCAGTCCCTCCAACAGCAGACATTTTTATTGTAGTCCCGGACAAGCACACCTGATTTAGCTTGTCAACTAATCATCAGGCCCTCAATGAGTTGAATCAGGTATGTTTGTCCGGGGCTACAACAAAAATATGTGCTGTTGGGGGTATTCCAGGACCAGAGTTGGGAACCACTGGTGTAGGCTACCCTGTTGAACTGAACAATCCTCTACCAGAGCTCCCCTCCACTGTCCTGAAAAGTCAAACATGGGTTAACTGCAATGTCAGTGCACAGAACATGAGTATAAAAATGAGGCATTGAGATATAATTTATTTAAATGTGGGTTGTCATTTAATTATAACCTCTGTCTTTGATATTAATATATGTTACAAAAAACAATAATGGCATAAAAGGTTTATGCCAAAAATGTGTTTGTTGTTATTTTATCTGAAGATTAGTAGAAAACTGTTGTAAAGTATTTATAGACCTGCATGCAAGTGTCAGGTGGATGTGTGAGTCTATGTTACATTTAGCAAGCTATACCATAGGCTGAATTTACAAACCTACAGTTCACAATTCCATCTTTATGTGATGCAAGCCACATTAATCATTTTGGGGAAGGAACAACGTGACTAAAACAGCTTCAAGGGGGGTGTGGCCTGACAGACAACATGGTCATATTACACATGCTACAAATATCCCTGGAGTGACATTACAGTCAGGATATCATAAAGCACGCACTCTAACGGCACGACCAGGAACACCCGGCATTATCTAAAGTAATGGATCAAGGTAAAATAACAAGGTTTCTTTAGTGTGTATCTATGGTGTATAGAAAAATCAAAATGTATTCTGGTTTACTCATGGAAACACTCCATGAGTGTTTGACAGGTTGGTGGACAGGTTGTTAAACAATTGAAATTGCATATTTTTGCAATTAAATACCATCAGCAGAAAATAAACTTGACATTTGGGAACCTGTTGCTGATTAACATAGATTTATAAGTAATATAAAAAAATCACTGCTTGTTAGAAATCCACATTTTTACATGTTATACTGTACATTATTACTTAGGAAAATGGTCTTCATGAGATTGAAATGTGTTTTTAATTGACTTCTTTCACAGCCTTGGATATAGAGCGATGTGATGTGGAGAGTAGGATCAACAATACTACTCACCACACTGACCAAAATGGGCTTGACCGGCTGATAGTTAGAAGGGGCCTGCCCTTCACCATCACTTTGCACCTCAAATCTGGGAGTCAGTTCCAAGCAGGCATCAGCACATTCAGGTTCATAGCAGAGACAGGTACAGTACTGTGGACACGATAGAAAGACCTCATTAGTTGGGGAACATTCAGTATATCGTCAGCAAAACTGTATGTATATGAATTTATATTCATTAATATGAATTTACATTTACAGTGGGGTCCGAAATTATTGACACCCTTGATAAAGATGAGTAAAAATTATATAATAAAGAATTCTAATAATTCAAATTGTCCATTTAAATTTATTGGATTCCTATAAAAAATTAGCAATGGCCATCTCAGTCTCCGGACTTGAAACCCATTGAACACCTGTGGTTTGAATTGAAGAGGGCAGTCCATAAGAGCAAACAAAGAATATCAAGGATCTGGAAAGATTCTGTAATAAAGTCCCAAAGGATTCAGTTGATAAAATCCTCAAACCTTCCCAATGTGTTCTCCAACTCATAAAACAATTTAGAAAAAGGCTCAGTGCCGTTATCCCTGCAAGGTGAGGTATTGAAAGGGATTGAATACAGGGGTGTCAATAATTTTTACACCTACCTTTTTGAGAAAAAACTAAATCTCTTTCTCTCAGCAATTGTATTAGTATAAAATCATATAATTTCCCAATTTATTTTAGCATACAATATAGCTCAGTATTTGAATTATTTATTATATAATTTTTGCTCATCTTTATCAAGGGTGTCAATAATTTCGGACCCCACTGTAAATGTAAATTCATATACATGCATGTAAATTCACATACATACAGTTTTGCTGACAAAATACTGAATTTTCAAGCAAGGATTCCCCAACTATCTGATATGGTGGGTGTCAAAATCCTCTTTCTTGTGCTTTTTGAAGTGGAATGACCCAAGTGTCAATCATTTCAGACCCTACTGAATGTCTTCGGCATCGAGGGGACATAAAGACATAATTGTTCTTTATGTCTTTCAACAGGGCCGTTACCTAGAGAGCAATCAGGCACCAAGTCTACCTTCAGCCTGACTGACACCGCATCAAAGACAGACTGGAGTGCGTCCACTACTAGTCCCACTGGGAATGTAGTCTCTCTGTCTGTGTCCTCCCCTCCTGATGTCCCCATTGGACTGTACTCCTTGACCTTGGACCAGGGCCAGAAGGTCAAACTGGGGGAGTTTGTACTGCTGTTCAATCCCTGGTGTGCCAGTAAGTCAGAGTGTTTCTTTCATCTGTCACTATCATTAGACCAGGGAGCTCTGTAACAGATCTCATCTGTAATCCGCTTGTCTATTTTTCTTGGCTACAGAGGATGCAGTTTACATGGAGGAAGAGAGAGACAGGCAGGAGTATGTGTTATCCCAGGCTGGTCTCATCTACAAAGGCACAACGAAACGATTCAAAGCTTCCCCATGGACGTTTGGCCAGGTATGTTGTGGAGCTTCCACAGAATAATACATTATATAATGTAGCATGCATTATTGGAATCTGAATTAGTGGAACTATGTAAAGTATGACAAGCCAGGATGAATGTATATTTATCCCTGTCTTCTGGTTCTCACTCTGCAGTTTGAGCCTGGGATGCTGGACATCTGTCTGAAACTCCTGGATGAGAATCCTAAATACACGTTAGATGCAGATGCAGACTGTTCTGGAAGGAGAAACCCAGTTTATGTGACTAGGGTGATCAGTGCCATGGTAAGTGTGAGCAATGAAGTACCAGGATTTGTCTGTGCTCAGACTAAACATTAGGCACTATTGACTGCAATACATCATTATAAGAAAGTAATGGTTTTTATCCTTGTGTGTCAGATCAACAGTAATGATGACAAAGGTGTGCTAGTGGGCAACTGGTCAGGTGACTATGATGATGGCGTGAGACCCTCTCACTGGACAGACAGTGTTGCCATACTACATCAGTGGGCTGATAACTGCTGCCAGAGGGTTCGCTATGGCCAGTGTTGGGTGTTTGCTGCAGTAGCATGCACAGGTAAAAGCAAAATAACTTTGTTCAGTTCCATTGTTTATGGGACTTTTTCAATGGCGAAGCAATATATACAGTACCAGTCAAAGGTTTGGACACACCTACTCATTCCAGGGTTTTTCTTTATTTTTACTATTTTCTACATTGTAGAATAATAGTGAAGACATCAAAACTATGAAATAACACATATGGAATCATGTAGTAACCAAAAAAGTGTTAAACAAATCAAAATATATTTTACATTTGAGATTTGAGATTCTTCAAAGTAGCCACCCTTTGCCTTGATGACAGCTTTGCACACTCTTGGCATTCTCTCAACCAGCTTCATTAGGTAGTCACCTGGAAGGCATTTCAATGAACAGGTGTGCCTTGTTAAAAGTGAATTTGTGGAATTTCTTTCTTTCTTAATGCATTTGAGCCAATCAGTTGTGTTGTGACAAGGTAGGGGGGGTTACAGAAGATAGCCCTATTTGGTAAAAGACCCAAGTCCATATTATGGCAAGAACAGCTCAAATAAGCAAAGAGAAATGACAGTCCATTACTTTAAGACATGAAGGTCAATCAATCCAGAACATTTCAAGAACTTTGAAAGTTTCTTCAAGTGCAGTCGCAAAAACCATCAAGCGCTATGATGAAACTGGCTCTCATGAGGACCGCCACAGGAAAGGAAGACCCAGAGTTACCTCTGCTGCAGAGGATAAGTTCATTAGAGTTACCAGCCTCAGATATTGCAGCCCAAATAAATGCTTCACAAGTTCAAGTAACAGACACATCTCAACATCAACTGTTCAGAGGAGACTGTGTGAATCAGGCCTTCATGGTCGAATTGCTGCAAAGAAACCTCTACTAAAGGACACAAATAATAAGAAGAGACTTGCTTGGACCAAGAAACACGAGTAATGGACATTAGACTGGTGGAAATCTGTCCTTTGGTCTGATGAGTCCAAATTTGAGATTTTTGGTTCCAACCGCCGTGTCTTTGTGAGACGCAGAGTAGGTGAATGGATGATCTCCGCATGTGTGGTTCCCACTGTGAAGCATGGAGGAGGAGTTGTGATGGTGCTTTGCTGGTGACACTGTCAGTGATTTATTTAGAATTCAAAACACACTTAACCAGCATGGCTACCACAGCATTCTGCAGCGATACACCATCCCATCTGGTTTGCGCTTAGTGGGACTATAATTTGTTTTTCAACAGGACAATGACCCAAAACACACCTCCAGGCTGTGTAAGGGCTATTTGACCAAGGAGAGTGATGGAGTGCTGCATCAGATGACCTGGCCTCCACAATCACCCGACCTCAACCCAATTGAGATGGTTTGGGATGAGATGGACCGCAGAGTGAAGGAAAAGCAGCCAACAAGTGCTCAGCATATGTGGGAACTCCTTTAAGACTGTTGGAAAAGCATTCCAGGTGAAGCTGGTTGAGAGAATGCTAAGAGTGTGCAAAGCTGTCATCAAGGCAAAGGGTGGCTACTTTGAAGAATCTAAAATCTAAAATATATTTTGATTTGTTTAACACTTTTTTGGTTACTACATGATTCCATATGTGTTATTTCATAGTTTTGATATCTTCACTATTATTCTACAATGTAGAAAATAGTAAAAATAAAGAAAAACCCTGGAATGAGTAGGTGTGTCCAAACTTTTGACTGGTACTGTACATAAAATAGTGAATGTATATATTTGTCTTGATGCTGTAAGTACTAGAATACATATTTTGTCTGGTTATGAGGCAAGCGCTTTAACAAGAAAGAGGCAATGGATTATTTATAGTGCATGACTTCAATGGAAACTGTCAGGACTGTAATCTGCAGCTACTTGTAATATCTTCATTGCCTTTCTTTAATTGCCAAGTGATATGAAGGTGCTGATGTTTGACTTCTTCTGTCCACAAGTTTCTCGTGCTCTGGGTGTCCCGTGTCGAGTGGTTACTAACTTTGGATCCGCTCATGACACAAACAGCAACCTACTGATTGAGTTCCTGTATGATGAGGATGGAAATGATATATCTGATGATTCAGTATGGTGAGAAAAATACAGTAAGCGGTACTGAAACAACAATGCTCTATATGATTGTGAAACAATGTTACAATGTACCTGTATTATACACTTTGTCTCAGGAACTTCCACGTGTGGGTAGATAATTGGATGGCTCGTCCTGATCTTGAAGCAGGCTATGATGGCTGGCAAGCAAGTGACCCCACACCACAAGAAAAGAGTGAAGGTGAGCCTGCAAATGTTAATACACTAAAGTTATAGTGCAAGTCAGACACCACCGTGTGTATGAAAATGCTTCATAGATTAAGCTAGTATTATAATCATGGCCAAAGCAAGTAATTTAAGGTCAGATATAATGTGTATACTTTAAATTACTAGGAGCAAAGAGGATTTCATTCACACTCTAGGCACAGGCCTCAGAGTGTCTTAGAATGCAATCCTATCTGTGTGATCTGTCTATTACTAGGTATTAATTCACTCAGCTGGGAGTATCTAGGTCACTTGTAACACTATCTACATCAACTCATTTAATGCAAGGTGCAATCAATGAAGATGCATGGTAGTCTGATGTAGGCCTATCTTCAGAGATATCCAGAGACAAATGTTGAAATGGGAAATGTTTTATGAAGTGTTACTTTGTCTGGCATGTACTCTCTCACAACCATTTCAATGAGAGGTAACATGATCACATTTTAAGTTTGAATTCAGTTGACAGCTTGTCAAGGATGTAGTGCAGTACAACAACCCACTCCATGTCCTTGGTTATTCTCTCTGACAGGAGTGTTCTGCTGTGGCCCTGTCCCTCTGAAAGCCATTAAAGAGGGAGAACTAACCCTGAAGTACGACGCCCCGTTTGTGTTTGCTGAGGTCAACGCTGACGTGGTGGAGTATGTGAAGCTGACCAATGGCAGGATGGTAAAGATGGGGGGATCGTCCACGGATGTGGGGCACTTTATCAGCACCAAGGCTGTGGGCAGTGACGAGAGGCATGACATCACACACCTATACAAGCACCCTGAAGGTAGGCCACGTCTGCAGGACACTAAAATACCTGACTAGTCTTTGTAAATCTGTGCTAGAGCTCGATTATAACTTCTGGTGGCTTTCAGGTTCTTTGCAGGAGAGAGAGGTCTATGAGAGAGCCAAGCATCACCATGAGCTCCAGCAGAAAGGAGAGGAACCAGGCCTGAAGGTGAAGATCAAGGTGTCCCCTGACATGGACATTGGGGCGGATTTTGATGTGTTTGCAGTCGTCACAAACAACACAGAGGCTGACAAGACGTGTCGTGTTATGTTTTATGCCCGGATTGTGTCCTATGATGGCAAACCAGGTGCCAACTGTGGATTCATTGAAGACTTAACTATGGAGGTTCCCACTGGAAAAGGTCAGGTCCCATCTACAGTGTAAGCCAGAAACATGGAATGTATGTTTTCCCTGACCCTGCTGTCTTCTTATCTGTAGAGAAGCGCCTTCCCCTAAGAGTGGAGTATGTTGACTATGGTGACACCATAACATCAGATAGGCTGATTCAATTGGTTCTCATTGTCATCGAATCAAGTCCCAGGGAATTCCACAAGGCAAAGAGGACCATCGTGCTGGAGAGCCCAGATATAGCCATCAAGGTATTGACTACCGTATTTTCTTTACCAATTCTTTATAGAAATTGTGATGTTAAATCATCAAATCATTCAGTGTTTCCTTTCCTCAGATAAAGTTGATTACTTTTAGTGTAATATTTAGGTGAAAAATCTGTCGATGTGCCCTTGAGCAAGGCACTTAACCCTAATTGCTCCTGTAAGTCGCTCTGGATAAGAGCGTCTGCTAAATGACTAAAATGTAAATGTATTCAGAGAGGGTATAATCAGCATGTCTAATATGTTCTCCTGCAGCTCTTGGGAGAACCCAGAGTGAACCAGAAGCTGTCTGCAGAGATCTCACTACAGAACCCTCTACCAGAACTCCTGCAGAACTGCTTCTTCAGTGTGATGGGAGCCAGCCTCACAGATGGAAAAATCCTCATACAGAAGTATACAAACAGTGCTGACACACTGGATCAGTTCAATATTAGCTTGATAGCTTTTTTAGCCACTAGTCAGTAAACAATCTCCAAATATGGAAGTACAGTAGAGTACGCTTGATTGTAAACTCACTTCAAGGCCACATATCCTTCTCACATTGGAAAATACTAGAGCTCCGCTCATATACAGTGAGGGAAAAAAGTATTTGATCCCCTGCTGATTTTGTACGTTTACCCACTGACAAAGACATTATCAGTCTATAATTTTAATGGTAGGTTTATTTGAACAGTGAGAGACAGAATAACAAAACAAAAAATCCAGAAAAACACATGTCAAAAATGTTATAAATTGATTTGCATTTTAATGAGGGAAATAAGTATTTGACCCCTCTGCAAAACATGACTTAGTACTTGGTGGCAAAACCCTTGTTGGCAATCACAGAGGTCAGACGTTTCTTGTAGTTGGCCACCAGGTTTGCACACATCTCAGGAGGGATTTTGTCCCACTCCTCTTTGCAGATCTTCTCCAAGTCATTAAGGTTTTGAGGCTGACGTTTGGCAACTCAACCTTCAGCTCCCTCCACAGATTTTCTATGGGATTAAGGTCTGGAGACTGGCTAGGCCACTCCAGGACCTTAATGTGCTTCTTCTTGAGCCACTCCTTTGTTGCCTTGGCCGTGTGTTTTGGGTCATTGTCATGCTGGAATACCCATCCACAACCCATTTTCAATGCCCTGGCTGATTTGATGGTATATGGCCACGTCCATCGTCCCTTTGATGCGGTGAAGTTGTCCTGTCCCCTTAGCAGAAAAACACCCCCAAAGCATAATGTTTCCACCTCCATGTTTGACGGTGGGGAGGGTGTTCTTGGGGTCATAAGCAGCATTCCTCCTCCTCCTCCAAACACAGCGACTTGAGTTGATGCCAAAGAGCTCGATTTTGGTCTCATCTGACCACAACACTTTCACCCAGTTCTCCTCTGAATCATTCAGATGTTCATTGGCAAACTTCAGACGGGCATGTATATGAGCTCTTTGGTCTTGGCCATGGTGGAGAGTTTGGAATCTGATTGATTGATTGCGTCTGTGGACAGGTGTCTGTTATACAGGTAACAAGCTGAGATTAGGAGCACTCCCTTTAAGAGTGTGCTCCTAATCTCAGCTCGTTACCTGTATAAAAGACACCTGGGAGCCAGAAATCTTTCTGATTGAGAGGGGGTCAAATACTTATTTCCCTCATTACAATGCAAATCAATTTATAAAATTTTTGACATGCGTTTTTCTGGATTTTTTTGTTGTTATTCTGTCTCTCACTGTTCAAAAAAACTTAGACTGATCATTTCTTTGTCAGCGGGCAAACGTACAAAATCAGCAGGGGATCAAATACTTTTTTCCCTCACTGTAGCCTACCAGTCAATTCTGCTCTCTGACTACATGACTGTATCCATTCCCTCTTGTGACCTTGCTGTTCTCTCCATTCTCCCTGGTGTTGGAAGTGTTGGTCCAAAACAGGAGGTCAAGTGCACAGTGGAATTCACACCTACTAGCACCGGGTCCAGGACCCTAACAGTAGACTTCGACAGTGACAAGCTGAGCAACATCAAGCAATACTTGAACATTGAGATAGGAATGAATAATATAATGGCCAATGACACCAACACCATTTCTTTTTAAATGAGATTTGCAACGTTTCAACTGCACTGCCTTGCAGTATTTGATGACATCTGTACATTTGTATGCTGTAACACTTAGATGAGTTCTCATTATTCAAGAAATACAAATATAGGATTTTTTGAATGACCTTTTTACATAATTTGTGAATGCTGTAAGTCCATTGTTTTACATCAGATAGCACAACAAATCTGTCTGCACTGAATCAGAGACGAGTGTTGTGCAGGAGTAAAGCCACCTGTCGGAAGACGCTGGTGAAAGTCGATAGATTCAAAATGTCCACCTAAAATTATATAAACAGGTCCAGTGTATCAATGTCACATTAGTCCGAGTATAAACCAGTCTGCACAGCTTTTTTCCAATTGTTCAATTTTATTTGTATCCATGGATTTGTTTTATTACTGAAAAACTACTGCTGTAGTACATTATCTGCAGAGAAATATACATTTCACACATTTCTACCATCTCTAGTAAAACATTTGTGGGCAGATGTCCTCCTATTACTACTAATGTATTATGTAACATTGGCAAGCACTTATCTCCCAGGATCCATAATCCAAACTAAAGAGATTGCAGAAATCAGATTGCCAACCACTGTAAAACTGTCAGTTAACGATTGACTCCTGAGGAAGGACTGCAGCAGTGACAGAATGAACAATGAGCCAGTTCACATTCTGCTACTCTGTCAAGTCTGAATAATACTGAATCATTGGTGGCCAAGCATAGTCCTGAAAAGCATCAGTCTGCTAGTTAGTTTGACATTTGTACCAAGTGATGCAATTATCTGGGAAAGAGCAGAGCTCATCAAAGACAATTTTACTGGACACGTGTTTCTAAGTGACTGTAAGTCAGTCTCGATCTGCCCCAAGATTGCTCTAATAACTTCTATCAACCACTTGCCTGAGGGCTAAATTATTTCACATTGGATTGAGAAAAACTACTACATGGATGTAATGGTATTGACTGATGATTGGTATGCATGACATGTTTGATGACAGACCTGAAAAGAAGGATATTGTTGTGTTGAGCTGGAATTATGGAAGATAATGTCACAACCAAAATATAACCTACATAGAAAAACACCCCCCCCCCCCCTCAACATTACAAAAAGCAACCAACTTCTAAGCGATTAAAATAAATGAGATGCATCTCTTCACAAAGATCTAGTGGGTGTGAGAGCCACCATCCCACCATATGAGCACAAAAACACTTTGCAGAAAAATGGGGATTGGCTAATGACCAACCCTTCTCTTCCTTCCAACGCAGAATCAGTTAGCTGGCGTTCAGAATAAAATCAAAAAGGAGATATTTGTCCAAGCTGGTGGAACGGAATCTTCAACGACCATTGTCTCTCCCACCGGGGATGTCCCCAAGCTTCCACTGTCCCTATCAGTCTCTCCCTAGGGTTCAGTAGCTAGTGAGCAGGTTCAACAGTGTGTGCCCTAGCAAGAGGCAGGGTGTGGCAGGGAGCTCAGTCGGCGGAGAATAGGTCTCCAGCAGAGGGTAGAGGGGCCAGACCTCCCGTCACATTGGGCAGCAGAGAGAGGTCAGGCAGGCTCTGGATGTGGGACTTGAGGTCTTTGCGCACCTGGGTGACCCGTGCCAGCTTCTGTTTGTACTCCTGCAATACAAATAACGGTACTGATGTCAGATGGTGCACAGTTCAGATGGGTTCACTGCATACTTCTTCTAAACAAGCAAAGTAAATTACAAAGCTGCTGTAATTCGATAAATGGGAACATAAATATGTTTTTTATTAATTTGTTGTTTATCGTGGTCCTCTGTAGCTCAGCTGGTAGAGCACGGCGCTTGTAACGCCAAGGTAGTGGGTTCGATCCCCGGGACCACCCATACACAAAAAAAATGTATGCACGCATGACTGTAAGTCGCTTTGGATAAAAGCGTCTGCTAAATGGCATATTATTATTATTATTATTATTATTTGTTTGTAACAAGAGATTTAGATGGTTTAGACATGCCTCCAGTTTCTTCTCCCTCTCGGTGAGGGCGTCCTTCTGGCTACCGATGTACTCTGTCAGCATGCGCGCCAGCTGCCTCCTGTCCTCCAGCTCAGCAGCCAGACGTCCGTTATACTCAGCCAGCAGTAGACAGGCCTCGTCCACCGTCTTGGACAGTTTATCAGCTGCCTCCTTATCTATAGGGACAGGGTCAGAGTCAAGTCAAATAAGGTGGAATGTTGCCTTATTTGTAATGGCGCCGGAGGGGATGGCTGCCGTTTTACGGGCTCCTAACCAACTTCACTATTTTGTTAGTTTTTCCGCATAGTTAGTAACTGTTTTTTTGTTGTTTTTTTTCACTTATTGTGTACATAATGTTGCTGCTACCGTCTCTTATGACCGAAAATAACTTCTGGACATCAGAACAGCGATTACTCACCTCGAACTGGACAAAGATTTTTTCTTTAACGAGTCCGACGTGGAGGATATACTGCTTTCTCGGGAACAGGCCCAAATCCCCGTTACTTGCATGAAGAAAAGATGGAGAAAAAGGGGGCGGAGGTCGGGCTGCCTTCTGAGAATTCGTAGGCGAGTGAGTAAACCTCCACTACCATCTGTTCTATTTGCCAACGTGCAATCATTGGAAAACAAAATTGATGATCTACGATCAAGAATATCCTACCAACAGGACATTAAAACTGTAATATCTTATGTTTCACCAAGTCGTCGCTGATCCATGACACGGATAATACAGAGCTGGCGGGATTTTCCGTGCATCGGCAGGACAGAGAAGTTAAGTCTGGTAAGACGAGGGGCGGGGGTGTGTGTCAATAACAGCTGATGCGCGATGTCTAATATTAAAGAAGTCTCGTGGTATTGCACGCCTGAGGTAGAGTAACTTATGATAAGCTGTAGACCACACTATCTACCAAGAGAGTTTTCATCTATATTATTCGTAGCTGTCTATTTACCACCACAAACCGATGCTGGCACTAAGACCGTACTCAACGAGCTGTATAAGGCTATAAGCAAACAAGAAAATGCTCATCCAGAAGCAGGCAAACTTAAATCCGTTTTACCTCATTTCTACCAGGATGTCACATGTGCAACCAGAGAAAAAAATACAAATAAACTCTAGACCAGCTTTACTCCACACACAGATGCATACAAAGCTCTCCCTCCATTTGGCAAATCTGACCATAATTCTATCCTCCTGATTCCTGCTTACAAGCAAAAACTAAAGCAGGAAGTACCAGTGACTCGCTCAATATGGAAGTGGTCAGATGACGCGGATGTTATGCTACAGGACTGTTTTGCTAGCACAGACTGGAATATGTTCCGGGATTGATTCAATGGCATTGAGGAGTATAGCACCTCAGTCATCGGCTTCATCAATAAGTGCATCATCGACGTCGTACCCACAATGACCGTACGTACATATCCCAACCAGAAGCCATGGATTACAGGCAACATCCGCATCGAGCTAAAGACTAGAGCTGCCGCTTTCAAGGAGCGGGACACTAATTTGGACACTTATAAGAAATCCCACTACGCCCTCAGACGAACCATTAAACAGGCAAAGCGTCAATACAGGATTAAGATTGAATCCTACTACACTGGCTCTGACGCTCTTCGGATGTGGCAGGGCTTGAAAACTATTACTGACTACAAAGGGAAACCCAGCCGCGAGCTGCCCAGTGACACGAGCCTACCAGATGAGCTAAATGCCTTTTATGCTCGCTTCGAGGCAAGCAACACTGAAACATGCATGAGAGCACCAGCTGTTCCAGACGACTGTGTGATAACGCTCTCGGTAGCAGATGTGAGCAAGACCTTTAAACAGGTCAACATTCACAAAGCTGCGGGCCAGACAGATTACTAGAACGTGTACTCAAAGCATGCGCTGACCAACTGGTAAGTGTCTTCACTGACATTTTCAACCTCTCCCTGACGAGTCTGTAATTCCTACATGTTTCAAGCAGACAACCATAGTCCCTGTGCCCAAGGAAGCGAAGGTAACCTGCCTAAATGATTGCCGCCCCGTAGCACTCACATCGGTAGCCATGATGTGCTTTGAAAGGCTGGTCATGGCTCACATCAACACCATTATCCCAGAAACCCTAGACCCACTACAATTCGCATACCGCCCCAACAGATCCACAGATGACGCAATCTCAATCGCACTCCACACTGCCCTTTCCCACCTGGACAAAAGGAACACCTATGTGAGAATGCTGTTCATTGACTACAGCTCAGTGTTCAATACCAGTTCCCACAAAGCTCATCACTAAGCTAAGGACCCTGGGACTAAACACCTCCCTCTGCAACTGGATCCTGGACTTCCTGATGGGCCGCACCCAGGTGGTAAGAGTAGGCAACAACACGTCTGCCACGCGGATCCTCAACACTGGGACCCCTCAGGGGTGCATGCTTAGTCCCTCCTGTACTCCCTGTTCACCTACGACTGCGTGGCCAAACACGACTCCAATACCATCATTACGTTTGCTGATGACATAACAGTGGTAGGCCTGATCACCGACAACGATGAGACTACCTATAGGGAGGTCAGAGACCTGGCAGTGTGGTGCCAGGACAACAACCTCTCCCTCAATGTGAGCAAGACAAAGGAGCTGATCGTGGACTACAGGAAAAAGCTGCCCGACAGGCCCCCATTAACATTGACAGGGCTGTAGTGGAGCGGGTCAAGAGTTTCAAGTTCCTTGGTGTCCACATCACCAACGAACTATCATCGTCCAAACACACCAAGACAGTCGTGAAGAGGGCACGACAACACCTTCTCCCCCTCAGGACACTGAAAAGATTAGGCATGGGTCCCCAGATCCTCAAAAAGTTTTACAGCTGCACCATCGAGAGTATCCTGACCGGTTGCATCACCGCCTGGTATGGCAACTGCTCTGCATCTGACCGTAAGGCGCTAGAGGGTAGTGCGCACGGCCCAGTACATCACTGGGGCCAAGCTTCCTGCCATCCAGGACCTATATACTAGGCGGTGTCAGAGGAAAGCTCAAAAAATTTTACAAGTCTCCAGACCCAAGTCATAGACTGTTCTCTCTGCTACCGCACGGCAAGCGGTACCGGAGCACCAAGTCTAGGACCAAAAGGCCCCTTAACAGCTTCTACCCCCAAGCCATAAGACTGCTGAACAATTAATTAAATGGCCACCCGGACTATTTACTGAGGCTCGCATCTACTACAAGACCATGGTGCTTGCCTACGAAGCTGTGAGGGGAACAGCACCTCCTTACCTTCAGGCTCTGATCAGACCCTACACCCAAACGAGGGCACTACGTTCATCCACCTCTGGCCTGCTAGCTCCCCTACCTCTACGGAAGCACAGTTCCCGCTCAGCCCAGTCAAAGCTATTCGCTGCTCTGGCACCCCAATGGTGGAACAAGCTCCCCCACGACAGCGGAGTCACTGACCACCTTCCGGAGACACTTGAAACCCTACCTCTTTAAGGAATACCTGGAATAGTATAAAGTAATCCTTCTTCCCCCACCCCCCATAAAAATAAAAAAGGTGGTTGTCCCACTGGCTATCATAAGTTGAATGCACCAATTTGTAAATCGCTCTGGATAAGAGCGTCTGCTAAATGATGTAAATGTAAAACCACAATATCGAAACTATTTAATTCACCAAATGTAAGTTTGAAAAAATAATCCCTTGTAGCAGACTGGACTAGGCCTACAATACACATTGAGTTTGGAGATAGGTGGGGTCAAAAGTTCACCTGTGCTCTAGATACCATGAAGACTCCCTCAGGACTTACCAGTGATCTTCTCTAGCAGGGACACATCCTGCACCTCCTGTGGCAGAGAGGCAATCTTCTGGCGCACAGCAGCATCACCCGAGGCCGCATTCTCCAGGTCCTGCAGGGCTTTGACCAGCTCCTCTGTCTGAGGGGAGAGGAGTGTGAATAACAAAGTTCTGGGTATAAATCTCCAATTTTCAAGCTGGATAATGTTTCTAAACACAACAATTCACAACCAAAGTACCAAAACAAGAATTTTCCAAATCATGAGTCCATGGGACATCTATGGATCACTGACACCTAGTGGAGAGTTGGGAGATAATTTCAACTGGTGTGAAACGCTGTCAAACATTGCAGTGTAATAAGCAAAGTACTGGTGAATGGGCTAAAGACATGGAGTTGTGTTAATTCTGTTTACCAGCTGTGGCCCTGAGATGTCTGAATCTCGTGGGGACATGTGGCCCCTGTAGTCATCATCTTCTTCCTCTTCTTCCAGCTCCTGGATTTTCTGATAGGTCCGTTTAGGGGCCTTCTTCGCTTCTGCAAAACATACCACAGATTCATACAAAAACAACCAATTGGAAGTTGATGTTGCGTGGGAATGCTGACATCCAAATAGGAATAGGAAACAAGCTGTCACCAGTAAGTAATTTAGTAAAGCTGAACTGCTACATCAGTGAAGACCTAGGGGACTGACTGTACCTGTGGGTTGGTGTTGGGGGCTGTTAGAGTCTTCGATGGCGAGCTTCAGCTGTTGGATGAACTCTACCTTGTAGAGGCTGCGCTCCTGCCAGATAGTGAGCAGCCTGTCCATGGGCCTTCTACAACCATCATCAGCCTCTCTGAGGGAGGGAGAGAAAGAGACTGATTCATCATGAAATTCAACTCTTCCTAGCCGAGCAACTGAATAACTTATTTGATCCTCTTGTCTTGTTATACTGCTGTAGCAGTGTACTCCATTTACCAATGTTTTGAAGCAGGTTAATGTCTTACTGATGTAGCTAGGCCAACCCTCCAGTGCAAACATGGTATACTAAAACATAGGCCTGCAGCACAAGTCTCTTGACTACTGCCTTAAAAATCATACAACGGAACAGTTCAGTGTTAGAGAAAAGTTTAGCTCTGAAACTGTATCATCCCAGACCACATACCTTGCAACATGAGAGCAAGCATCAACAAGGACAGTCTCAAAGTCTTTGGCGAACTCTGGACCTTTCTTCTTGCTGTTTTGTATCACATCATTGGCAAGATAAAGGAAAGTCAACTTCCTGCTGCTTTTTGCTGAAAGACAAATACAGAAAGTAGACAAAGTAAATAACAGTGTCTGGCATTCTTCAAGTGACATATCAACGTTTCAGTGTGTAAATATTGTCGAGGTGGCAACGTTCATAGGTTCTCTCACCTTTCTTCAGTTCTCTGTGCCATACTTTGACGATGAGCGACGAGTGTTTGCGATGATGAATGATCCACAGAGACAGCGTCTGAACGCTCTGCTGAGAGTTGCTGAGCTCCGAAAGCTTCTTCTCCAACGCAGACTCGGAAAAAGATGACATGATGTGCCCAGAGAGGACTCTCTTTGATATGCCTCACCCCACAACTGTTTCTCGGATGTTAACTGAGGAAACTAGCAATGTCATCAAAAACAAAGTTGCAGCCAGTTAGCCATGCAACCTGCTAACGTTACGCATGAAACACCCTAACGTTAGCTAACCAATCGTATGTTTGTCCATGCTTCTCTTCCTTAATTTAGCTACCTACAAAAACGGGTTAGATTATGCAATTGCCTTTACATTGATGAGTTTGCAATCTAGTAAACGTGTTTAGCTCGCTAGCTATCTATCTGTTTACAAATAGCCAGCAAGAAAGTCCTAGCTAGGTAGCCTAGCGAGTTAGCTAACCTATCCACTGGCTTTGTTTGCTCTCTAGCTACTCTAGATACTAGATGCAAGTTCATTACCAATACATCTATTCATAATCTAGTAAATGTGCCGTTTCAATACACATACATGTAGCTATACCCTTACTTTGTTAGCCAGCTGGCTCTCTAAAAATATCTGGATCTCTTCAAAGATGGCCGCTTGACCTTTCACCCGACAGAGTCACACGGTTCAAAAAACGTTGCAGAGTAACTGGTGAAATTAGATCATTACTTGAAATATTGTAACATTATTGTCACGTGTAGCTATATTAAACGACATCAAATTACATGCAAAGTAGCTAGCTAAATCAACCGATCAAGTATCATCATGCTTACACGCAATCGTACCGTTTCCTTTAGCCAGTTTTGCAGGTCAAGTGCAACGAAGTGAACTTTGACCCCCAAAACGTTGCATTTTAATTCATTTACAAGTATCAACTGCACCAACGCTGGCTAGCTAGCTAGCAAGCATGGTAAACACAACTATGCGACGCAGGATAATGACGTAGATACAGGGGTAAACTGACGCTTGTGTGACAGCCAGCTAGGGCAGTCTTCATTCAGTTTCAGTGCTGTATCTCGAAATGTGTTTGTCTCAGATGTCCGTTACAAAATATTTACTAACAAAGGTAAGCTAATTTGAATCTTACTTTGTTAGGTTACTCTTGCTTTGTCATTTAAGCATTCCATTAGATAGCTAGCTGTCTGGCTATCTAACTAACGTTAACGTTACCTTTAGCAAGGATGGTCAGGCAAAGTTCTGTTTTGGGGTGATTAGCAAAGGACCAAAGTTAGGCCTATAAGATGAACATTTAGGTAACTCAAAAATATACGTCTAAGCTATTATTCTGATAATCAAAATTAATTGAATGCATTGAGCATGCCTACTGCTAAACTGCATCCCACTACTTCCCAAAACAGTATATGATTGGATGACCAATATCATAATTCTCTCTTTCAGTGAGTGGCATCTGTCTTCAAAGAATGGACCATCAGATTGACAACCCAAAGCTTGCTTTTGCTTACCTCCGTCCAGCCTGTGTGCTCCTGACTCATGAGCCCACGGTGGGCAATGTGGAAACCCTGAGCACACAGCTGAGGCATGTAAATGATGGTACTCTGCAGCAGCTGCAGGACTATGTCCTTTTTCCTCTCCGCTTCATCCTCAAAATCCCTGGCCCCAAGCGGGATGGCTTGATCCAGGCTGTGGCCGAGGCCATAGGCTATGTGCTGGAGAACACCTGTGTACAGAGCTGGGAGACGCTGAGGGACCTTCTCTCAGAGCTCTGCCTCTGCCTCTGCTCCCCCATGGACCCAGGGAAGCCAGCACCCGCCTCAGAGGAGCTGAGAGCTGCAGTACTGAGGTGCCTGGATGCTCTGTTGCATGCAGCCTACGGTGACGTGGTCTTCAAGCTGTTTGAGCCCATCATGCTGCCTGGCCTTGGGGCTGCTATCTCCCTGCTGCTGGCACTGGGAGAGCAGGAGAAGTCTCGCACTGTGCAGGCTGCTGCTCTGAAATGCCTGCAGGCCCTGACCCTCCAGTGTGACTGTTCTCTGGACCATGTGTCTGTGGGTCAGGAGGAGAGGCGTATGCTAGGTAGCACCATGGCTTCTTTCTTACCTGGGATCACCATCACTGTGAGCCGTGTGATCACTGGCGATATGAGACATGGACATGCTGTCACAGTTAGGGCCATTAAGGTGTGGTTCAAGACAGTGGGACTGGTGATGGCTGACGACCAGCTTCAGCACACAGGGACTGGGGAGAGACAGCCGTGGGAACTGGGGAGAGTATGGGAGCTGGTAGTGCAGAGAACTCAGGACTGGGTGCGAAACACCTCTGGGAGGCTGGCCTTACTGTTAAAAAAGATAATCTCCTGCACCTCAGCTCATCAGCACTGGAGAGTGAGGCTTGAGATGGTGAACCTCTCAGACCACCTCCTGGCCAACTGTAACTCCTCCCTGGGTGAGTGTGTGGGCCCCCTCCTGGAAGCTCTGGTGGGGGCTGTGAACGATGAGGAGCCCACTGTGAGGGAGAGGTGTGAAGCTGCCCTGAGGGAGGTGGCAGAGAGGAGTCAGAGCTCAGATAGTAACAACCAGGCCTTTACTGACGTGCTGTCAGAGAACCTCCACTCCCTGGCCACCTCGCTGCCGCGCCTCATGAGGACGTCTGATGACCAGCATAAGGTGTTTGTCCTCAACGTGTTCCTGGGCTACCTCAAGATCCTGGGCCCCAAGTTGATAGTGGTGCTCAACTCGGCGGCCCACCTCCAGCGGGTGTCCAAGGCCCTGATGCAGGTGTTGGAGTTAGACGTGATGGACGTCCGCATCGTGGAGGAGAGGAGCTCTGCCGTAACTGTGGAGACGGGGCCCGGACTCCACAGGGCATATGCTCAGAGGAAGCACTTCCTCTACTTCACAGACAAAATAATCTTCTCCCTGCTCAAGGAGATCTGCAGGGTGTTAGGTTACTATGGGAATGTCTATCTCCTAGTAGATCACTTCATGGATCTGTACAAGGAGTCGTCGGTCTACAGGAAGCAAGCTGCAATGGTGCTGAATGAGGTGATCAAGGGGGCAGCGGGCATCGGTGTGGCAGGAGGCACGGAGAGGCAGGAAGTGCCCAGTCAGGAGGACCTGAAAGCAGTAGTAGAATCCATCATAGAGGAGTACACCGGCCTGAGCCACTGGCACCTATCAACCCTTATTGCTGAGGAGTCAGACAGAGGGGAACACAAGCAGCAAACTCAGTTTAGTCTCCTCTCCATATCTAATGGGGTTGAAGGGAAAGGGAATCCCCTCCAGTTGGTCCAAGCAGTCCACAAGAGCTCCACAATCCATGAGTTGAACAGCAACATCTGGCAGATCTGCATCCAATTGGAGGGGATAGGCTGCTTCGCCCAGGCCTTGGGGATGGACTTCCGTCTCATTCTGATGACATCACTGTACCCGGTGCTGGAGAAGGCCGGGGATGAGACCCTGTTGATCAGCCAGGCAGCGCTGGATGCCATGTGGGACATCAGCCAGGCCTGTGGCTACGCCTCCCTGAAGGAGCTGATCAATGAGAACTCTGACTACCTGCTGAACGACGTGTCTTTGAACCTCCAGAGGCTTGGCATCCACCCCCACGCCCCCAGGGTCCTCACCGTCATGTTCAGTCACTCCGACCCTAGCCTGCTGCCTCTGGTGGGGGACATAGTCCAGGACGTGCTGCTGGCTCTGGACTTGAGCTACGACGAGACGTCCCCTCTGTTCTGCACTGTGCTGCACTCACTTATGAAGGCTCTAGGTAAAGTTTCCACATCCACTTAAATGTTTTCCCTAGTTTATAACATTGTTATGCTTTTTAATAGGAGAACCCGGAGAGGAAATTGAAACACAGGACACAAAATGATAACCTTTAGCTAACACAGCCTAAGTAACACAATCTTAATCATTTTCCACTACAGCGAGGTGGTTCCCCTCTAGTGTTGCGGGAACAAGTGACGCTTTGGGAACCAAGAAGGTGTGGCGTGAGCAGGACCAGCTGAATGTGCGCCAGTTTCTCCTGGACTACAACAAACAAAAGGAGCTGGCAGTGGGCATCGGGGCAGAGGAGGAGGGCACAGAGCACCCAGGTTAGTTAGGGCTCGCTGGCTGCCACACTATTCCCCTGAAAACAAATTTCTCACATTAATGATACACAACATTAACGCTATAATAATAATAATAATAATAATAATAATAATAATAATAATAATAATAATGACATTTAGCAGACGCTTTTATCCAAAGCGACTTACAGTCATGTATGCATACATTTTACGTATGGGTGGTCCTGGAATCTAACCCACAATCCCGGCGTTGCAAGCGCCATGCTCTACCAACTGAGCCATACATGACAAGAATCAATCAATCAATCAATCAAATGTATTCATAAAGCCATTTCGACATCAACAGTTGTCACAAAGTGTTTTACTGTAACCCGGCCTAGCAAACCCCAAGCAGCAGCGACAGGAACCAGGCTCAAGTGTTGAATAAGTTTGACTCGTGCTGTTTTCCTCATAGCTGGGTCCTGAGTCATTGCACTGCTTTTTAGGCGTCAGAAGATTTTGTGTGGTGTGCTGCTGTGACAGTTAGTCATGTTTTAAAAAATGTCAATTGAAAACTGTTCTACAGAAATCAGAATCCATCAGTGTTATGAGTCGCTGAGTTTCATGCACTGCATTGAAAAGTTTTTTTTTTTTTTTTTTTTCAGAGCTCCCGCCAAGCATGGACTGTGAAGAGGATACGGATGGTCCTGATGTGGACTGTGAAGAGGATACGGATGGTCCTGATGTGGACTGTGAAGAGGATACGGATGGTCCTGATGTGAAAGTTGAGCTTCCAGCCCACATCACTATAGCTAAAGACGTCATGGAGCGCTGCATTCACCTGCTCTCAGACCCCAGTCTGAGACTCAGGCTCAAGGTAGTCCTCTAGATTGTTTTGAATTCAAAGATACGTAGCTTAAAAACTAGAGACTAGAGAGTTAATAAAATATAAGGCTCTGTCTGGATTCAACTAGTTTGCCTGCCACATGTTGCTGTCACGTGTGCTCACTATTGCCAATTCTGTGAGTCCTGACCCAGGTTTGTTGTTTGGTTTGTTGCAGGTCCTGGATGTGTTGGAGCAGTGTGTGTGTGTGCTAAGTGAGAAGGAGAATGAGCTACTGCCCATGGCTCACCGCTGCTGGCCTGCCCTCCTGCTCAGACTTACCACTGATGACCCACTAGCTGTCCTCCGAGCCTTCAGGGTATCTATCGCTCACTACTGCTCCCACCTTCACTCAGTTAAATAATAATTTGATGTTTACATAATACATAATTGATTACATAATTAGGAAAAAGCACACATGGGAATTCATTTTTCATTCATGAATGTATACATTTTCACCTACAACAGTTGGTATTTATAATGATGTATTATGATGTCTGTGTGTGTTTTCTCTCTAGGTTCTGTGCACATTGGGGGAAACCTGCAGAGATTTCCTGAGGAAGAGGGTGTCTAAAGAGGTGGTCCCCAAGCTGACTGCCTGGCTGTCCAAACAGGCACCAGTGAGTGCCAGGGCCGGCCCAGTCTACAGCCACACCCTGGCCTACAAGCTGCAGCTGGCTGTGCTGCAGGGCCTGGGGGCTCTCTGCTGTCGTCTGGACCTAGGTAGGCAGGCCACCAACACCCTTCCTTCTTTATTCTAGGAGACACTCAGCAATATTTTCATCCTTTTTTAGGAAATGTTAAAATGATAAAGCTTTTTGGCCACAAGGTGTCACCCTTGCACTGATTTGGAATTACAACCGGTGTATCCTATAGACTGCATTGAATGGTGTATGTGCATGTACATTTCCCCAACCGAGCTCCCAAGGGAGACAGAGATTGCTGCTGCCTTAGTCAAGGGAGATGGAGACACACAAGGCAGGGCCAGCATGACACCCACTGGTTTTCAATAGTAGAACCGTTTGGATACACCTCACCTAGCTGAGCCGATTCATGGTCTTCTCTGTCCTTGGTCTGTGAAGATGCTACCTCCCTACACATCAGCCCCAGAGGAACACAGCTGAGTCGGCTTAAGTTGAGACACAGAGAGACAGAAGCTGCAGCAGTAGTAGAACACACTGGTAAACATCAGCTCCACCTCACCGCTGGGACATCTCCAGAAAGGCAATTATTGGCCACAGAGAAATAGAGAAATTCTCCCAATGTGATATGCTTTTAAGGTTATTTACCCCCGTAGAGAAACACCTGGACTGGCCTCTCCCTCAGTATTTATTTTCTTTGTTCGCCTCTTGATTCTACAAAAAAAGGGGGATAGGTATACTGGATATACTGGATAAAATGAATTTTCTGACACAACGAGCAGGCTGGTTTTTCACCCGTGTGGGTTGAGTTGCCAAATAAGAAAAGCTTGAGCAAGAAGCGTGAAGGCTTATTTTGAAATTAGGTTTGAATGGCGACCCAGTTAGGAGCTTAGGGAATACGTGTCTGGGGTGGGGGGGGACTACTACAAAGTGATGGAGTTGCCATGGTTATGAGAGGTACTGAGAGTGGGGAGTGGATGTGTGAAATTCGGAGATGGAGGCAGGCTGCTGTGAAATTCCCAGGTCATTTCAGCATTTTCTTCCTCAGCACTATCTCCATTTCCTTTTTTATTTTCCCATTTTTTTCTTTTCCTCGGTTTTCCTTCTGGTATATACACTGCTAAAAAAAATAAAGGGAACACTTAAACAACACAATGTAACTCCAAGTCAATCACACTACTGTGAAATCAAACTGTCCACTTAGGAAGCAACACTGATTGACAATAAATTTCACATGCTGTTGTGTAAATGGAATAGCCAACAGGTGGAAATTATAGGCAATTAGCAAGACACCCCCAATAAAGGACTGGTTTTGCAGGTGGTGACCACAGACCACTTCTCAGTTCCTATGCTTCCTGGCTGATGTTTTGGTCACTTTTGAATGCTGGCGGTGCTTTCACTCTAGTGGTAGCATGAGACGGAGTCTACAACCCACACAAGTGGCTCAGGTAGTGCAGCTCATCCAGGATGGCACATCAATGCGAGCTGTGGCAAGAAGGTTTGCTGTGTCTGTCAGCGTAGTGTCCAGAGCATGGAGGCGCTACCAGGAGACAGGCCAGTACATCAGGAGACGTGGAGGAGGCCGTAGGAGGGAAACAACCCAGCAGCAGGACTGCTACCTCCGCCTTTGTGCAAGGAGGAGCAGGAGGAGCACTGCCAGAGCCCTGCAAAATGACCTCCAGCAGGCCACAAATGTGCATGTGTCTGCTCAAACGGTCAGAAACAGACTCCATGAGGGTGGTATGAGGGCCCGACGTCCACAGGTGGGGGTTGTGCTTACAGCCCAACACCGTGCAGGACGTTTGGCATTTGCCAGAGAACACCAAGATTGGCAAATTCGCCACTGGCGCCCTGTGCTCTTCACAGATGAAAGCAGGTTCACACTGAGCACATGTGACAGACGTGACAGAGTCTGGAGACGCCGTGGAGAACGTTCTGCTGCCTGCAACATCCTCCAGCATGACCGGTTTGGCAGTGGATCAGTCATGTTGTGGGGTGGCATTTCTTTGGGGGGCCGCACAGCCCTCCATGTGCTCGCCAGAGGTAGCCTGACTGCCATTAGGTACAGAGATGAGATCCTCAGACCCCTTGTGAGACCATATGCTGGTGCGGTTGGCCCTGGGTTCCTCCTAATGCAAGACAATGCTAGAACTCATGTGTCTGGAGTGTGTCAGCAGTTCCTGCAAGAGGAAGGCATTGATGTTATGGACTGGCCCGCCCGTTCCCCAGACCTGAATCCAATTGAGCACATCTGGGACATCATGTCTCGCTCCATCCACCGAAGCCACGTTGCACCACAGACTGTCCAGGAGTTGGAGGATGCTTTAGTCCAGGTCTGGGAGGAGATCCCTCAGGAGACCATCCGCCACCTCATCAGGAGCATGCCCAGGCGTTGTAGGGAGGTCGTACAGGCACGTGGAGGCCACACACACTACTGAGCCTCATTTTGACTAGTTTTAAGGACATTACATCAAAGTTGGATCAGCCTGTAGTGTGGTTTTCCACTTTAATTTTGAGGGTGACTCCAAATCCAGACCTCCATGGGTTGATACATTTGATTTCCATTGATAATTTGTGTGTGATTTTGTTGTCAGCACATTCAACTATGTAAAGAAAAAAGTATTTCATAAGATTATTTCATTCATTCAGATCTAGGATGTGTTATTTTAGTGTTCCCTTAATTTTTTTGAGCAGTGTATGTGGTATATCTGTGTTGTATTTGCAGGGGACTCAGATCTGGATGCTGTAACTGAAGCCTGCCTGCCCTACCTCAGCTGCAGACAGCCACCCAAACTGCAAGAGGCCTGTCTAAGGTATATTTGTATTGCAATAGTAAATCTAGCAGTACAATATATTAAAAGCCAGTTTTTATCTGGTACCATTTCCTTATCATATCTGAACACATCATATATTGTGATTTATCGTGTAATGTATGACCTTATGTATTATCGTCAGCTTTCTATGATCATTTTATTCAGTTGAATTTATCAATGTGCTATCTCTATTCTGTGCAGTGTCTTCCGCCACCTAATAGAATTGGACCCTGATGCCTTCTGGTTGACTCTGAACGAGCTATACTGTCCCTGCTCCTACACCCCACCCCACCCTGACCTGCAGCCTGTGGAGCTGAGTGGGATGGGCCTCCAGAGGAACGAGTACACAGATAATGTCCTGAAACTCCTGGAGGACTTTGGCTTGCCTGAGGACACACAGCCAGCAGGGATCCAGATCCAGTGAGCTGCACTGATGAACAGTACCCCAGTCATCCACCCGTCTGTCCCCAAGCAGAGGAAGGTACACTACACTGACGACGGCCACAGGAGAGCATAGCGTGTCCTAGTCTTCCCCAACCTCTTTTCAGGGACTGTGCCTTGCAGACCTCATCCTATAGTTTAACAGTGACTTTGAAACACCAAAATGTTAAGTGCTGATTCTGTTCTGTTGTGTTGGTTAAGGGTGTACATATTCCATTGTGCTCCCAAGGGATGGACAAAAGACTAGTATTTTGAATGTAAAGGAAAAAAAGAAGTAGTCATTAATAGTCCTCTTTAATAAACAATTCTAGTTTTTTTTTATAACATACATTTCTTTTTCCAGACCTCTTCTCTTCGTTGTAACTGCTTAGCCTTTCATGCATGTAGCTGTAGCAATCTATGTCATAGTTGACCTTCCCCACCGTAAGTAGAATGGCAGAGCTTTCATTTGCCTTCAATTCCGGCTTCAACTTCACAACTTGGTTCCATTCTTCCTTTGATAACCAGAGGTCATGGTCATTCCACACAAACCTCCCATTGATTCACAAAGAACGGATCTGATACTTGCTGCACAAATGCCTGATTGAAAGTCCTAGTGTGATTTTGAATACAACTTGAAGTCCACCGAGGGTTAAAGTGTAGGTTAGAGCCCTGGCTTGTTTGTCAGGGCTTGTTAAGACTGAGGGGTCTGGAAGCCTCTCCGTGACATAATGAATGTGCGTGCCGGGGAGACAGGAACAGGGTTGCCACATGTGCTTTGCGTTGGCGAGGGAGTGCTTTATCTCCACCATACTTTGCTATTTATCCAGCTGCCAACGCTGGCAATAGCACCATTACTCATCAGCCATGGAGGCCCTGCCTGGCAGCCCATAAAGCCAGGGACGGGAGAAATGACTGCCTTATGAGTTGACTGTGATGAGGTATTCTGGCTTTGAATAATAATATATGTCTACAATGGCAGCATACAAATCAGTGTGTGTTTGCATACAAAATGCAAGGTCAGATACTAACTTTTCATGGTCAGATGCTGACTTTTCATGATGAATGAAATACAAAAAAAATTTCCATCATCAACGTCTCAAGGCCGTACATACTAGAGGTACTAAATTATGAAAATATTCTGAAGGCAGATCACATTCAAGTCACAATAAATAGGTTAATGTACAATTGATTTAATTTGATAAAGGCAAACATTTAGTGCGAGACCAACATCCTAGAAGAAATTCTAAAACATTTTTATAATGATTTCTTACAAAACATCAAAGCAAAGTTAAGAGCAAGAAACAATTCCTTTATCCATGTCTTTTACAATGCCACATTCAGTCTGTAGGGAAAGCACAAAGCACCATAAACAGGTTTTATTTTATAAACATTGGTTTAGCTCTGGTTGAATGGAAATCATACTTGAGAGGAAAGTCTTTCACAAACAAAGCAGCTTTAGTGACCTAATTATATTTCCCCATTAAGTTATTACCATAGAGAGACAGCAAATGAACTGCTCAGAAAAATTTACAAATGTTCTCTCTGACATTTTGGCAAAATCAAATGCAACATAGAAACGAAGACTAACTTAAGATATTAACAAACCAAAATGAATTAACAAAGCAACAAGTTAACTGTCCAACTTAAAACTGTATTTCCTCATGGATGGTTGAAAAACATTCTAAGAAAACATGTCGAACATGCACTCACTTTGTGATTTTATACAGTAATATATAGAGTGTGGACAATCTAGAGTAGTGGTGTCAAACATACGGCCCGGATCCGGCCACCGAGGGGGTCCAATCCGGCCTGCAGGTGGTTTTTAAATATTGTAATTTTCTTTTGGGGGGGGGACAAACTCAATACACATGACTAAAACCAAATCGAAACTGTAGAAATTATAATGGACCTACATTCATACAGTTTCTTGACTGTCCAGCTCACTAATAAGCACATAAATTAAAGCTAGAAAGTCAGGGAGTGTCATAAATTCCAAAAACTATGGATAGAGGACTATTTTTAGCTAATTTTGACAGTGTGGAAATATAACACATTTTCAGCGCTGCCCTCTGGACCTCATTGAAAAAGGAATGCGGCCCCCGGGGCAAAATTAGTTTGACACCCCTGATCTAGTGGGTTGTGACATAGAAAGAGGGGGTGGGGGGGCAAGGACTGGGAGTGGAGCTGAGGTGTTTTTGGTGGGACATTGTTGTGCTAGGGCAGTGTAAGGGGAGACGAGAGAGGCCAGAGGTATAGGACTGGGGTAGCACCGGAGTCCATTTGGTGTGTGCATGTTGGGCAGAGGGCAGGGGTGGGCAACAGGGGCAGCAGTGTGTGCAGAGACTTTAGTTTAATCATGTATATTACAGCTGGGGTGGTTGAATCAAAAGTCTCTACACACTGTGGTCCTCCAGGACTGGACTTGCCCGTCTGGGGTGTAGGACAAGGTTGGAGCTTGGAGCTGAGGCCGGGGCAGGCTGAGGAGGTTATGGGTGAGCTGTGAGGCCTAGAGGACAGCTGTCAGTGCAGTCAGTAGCGCTGTCATCCTCAGCAGACCTCTTCCTCAGCTCCCTACCATTGCCTGTTGGTTTGTGGTGGCTGTGGTGGGATGCTGGCGAGTGCTTGCCATGCTCCGGCTGGTGGCCGCTGCCTGCCAGAACCTTGGTGTCCTTGGTTTGGAAGTTGGCCCTGTGGTGGCGCAGCGCCGGGTTATGGTTGCTCTCTGGCTCCACCTGCAGATAGGCCCTCACCTTGTGGTGACGGGCATTGCTATCGGTGTCGCTGAAGTCGATCACGCGGCACTCGTACGTGCCCTCGTCAGACAGCTTCACGCTGGACAGACGCAACTTGTGGGAGATGTTGCTCCCGGCAACCTTTACCACCTGCAATAGACAAAGAAAATATATTTGTCTATATATCCAAGTGTGAAATGATACATTTGGATGCCTGACAGGCTATCCTTACAGATGAAAAAATCCTCACTTCAACCCTAATATGCCTGCCAGCTGCATTTCTCCTTCCACTGAAGATCCTCAGTGTCTATATCTGTTGTTAATAATTTTGCTAGAAAACAAACGTCCTTGTACATCCTCACCACCAACCCCTCTGTCCCTGCATCCTGTGTGTGTGTGTGTGTGTGTGTGTGTGTGTGAGAGACAGCCAGGCTGTCTGATCCGGATGAGGCTGGCAGCCGGCTCTGTAATGAGATGCTAGCTGCGTTGCCACAGATGCACCACAGTGCACACTTACAGAGCAGATGCCCCTCCTCCTCCCAAGCCCTGTACTGCTGGCAGCCCCACCGAGCCCAGCCACCCAGCCCCTGCACTCAATAAAGCCGTCTGGCAACCAAACCAATTGAGTGGGGATGTGAGGAGGCACACACACAAATTACCTGTACACACATAGTCAGACCATCGTTTCAATGTTGCAGAGAGATCTGTTCCATTTGTTCACTAAAACAAATGAGGAGATGCTGTGGCCCTGCATACATACAGAACATGCCTTTACTTGGTAAGGGTCTAATAGTTCAGTGGCTTATAAAACCTGTAGAAAATATATTTTATAGTGTCAGATCTTAGATAACACAAAGTGATCACATACTGTGGGAAAGTCATTGGTTGTGACACACCAGGGTATAAATACAGTTTTCTTTATCAGCTTCCTCCCACACAGGTAGTGTAGCCAAGGCTGATGATTAGTCTGTGGCTGTCTATCTCTGTTATCAGCCCAGTCCTCTAAGCTCAGAGAGAAAATCACACAATCACATTCAGCCTTGAGACCAATAAAACTGACCAAAATAATTTGGGGGGAGTATAGTTAGTAGGTCTGCATGGTTTAGTATAATCTCAGAATCTTTGATTTTACATCAATAGAATATTAAAATTAACTGGTTGATGCCATCAGCTGTATTTGTGGGTAAACATGAAAGGCTGGTATCCAGCCATGTCTGCTGAAACCAATGACTGGGCTGGAACCCTCCGTACCGTTTTACCGGCTGAGCGACTCCGTACACCACAGCTGTTTGTTTCATTATGGTTAGTCAGCAGCAGGGAGGAAACATCAGATCAGAGATAGGCTTCATCTTCTCCTGGAGACGAGCGAGTAGAGGGACACACTGCTGCTGTGCGAGCACAGAACTAGCTGTTAACAAATCATTACCCTCAGCCAGGCTGGCGGCAACAAGGCACTACCAGCACTAGATGAGCTATCAGAAGTTCTGCTGACTCCCCGATCATTCTCCAGCAAGGAGCACATTTTTGTAAATTAAGACAGCAGAGCGCACTGTGCAGTTGTGAAGTTGGCCGCGTTCATGCTTTACTGAGAGAAGACAAGAAGACATCTTACTGCAGCCTCAGTCTTTCTATAGATCTGAAACACATAATTGTAGCAGAAGTAAGTGAAGAGTTTATTTCCAAAACGCTATATATCCATTTTCAGAAATGTTGGTAAATTAGCTTTTATTGTTTAAAGAACTTATGAAAGGTTTTTTCACTATCTAATCATGGCGTTGGGTTTTTTCACTATCTAATCATCCATGATTCACCAATTATATTTTGAAAGAGGAAACAAAATATTTTAGGCATATGTTTTCTTTTCAGTCTCTTCAATCTCCACTGAATGATGTTAACTGTAAGGATTTCTTTCCTAATAATAATAATCTAAAATTAACAAATGTACAGAAAGACCTGTGTGAAGGCCAACTTACAGAGGAGGAATGTATTGCGGCAATTAAATCACATTGATTAACTCTTTGGTCCTATTACAGTTTACTTACTTACTAATGGTGCTGCCTACTCCAGATTACTTTTTAAATCATATGAACAAAAAATGTTTTCCCTTTATTTGGAACGCTAAGCCAGACAAAATTAAACGTGCCTATTTATATATTGAATATGAATTTGGGGGGCTGAACTTATTAAATATGAAAGCATTAAACCTCTCACTAAAAGCTTCACTCATACATCATTTATACTTAAACCCGAACTGGTTCTCCAGTAGATTATTAAGAAAGATTACAACTTCTCATTTTTGAGTAATTGAAAATTAAACTTTGTTCAAAGAATCGCCCTTTCTTAAACAAGCCATACAAAGCTGGTTACAATTTATATTTTATCCCCCAGAAAAGAGAACAAATATTACAACAAATATTATGGCTAAACTCAAATATAATGATTGATAAAAAAAAACATTATTTATGGATTTTTTGTATTATTTTTATTATTAATAGGAATAGTGGAGTTATGTCACATATGCAGCTATCGAAAATAGATGGGAATGTTTGCTCAATCCAAAATTACAACCAACTGATTGCAGCATTACCGCAAAAATGGAGGAGACAAGTGAAAGAGGGAGAAAGTAGGAAATTTGCTTGTCTGCCACATATTAAAGATCAAAATTGGCTGAAAAGGATTGGCATGAATAGAAAAATATACCAGTTTCATTTGAGGACAAAAATGTTAACAGCTGCGCCATACAGGTTGCAAAATAGCTAGGAAGAGATTTTCGATGTATCAATTCCATGGCACATGGTATATGAACTGATACAAAAAACAACACTTGATTCAACAAATTATTATACAAAATTCTTGCCACCAACAGAATGCTATATATATGGGGCATACAACAATCTCAGCTCTGCAGATTTTGCTGCGAAGAGATATAATCATTCAGGGGCGCAACTTTCACTGGGCACGGGGGGAACATGACATGGTGCACAATCAGTACACAACACTATGCTCATCATGTCTTAGCAGGATCAGATGGTGACAGGTGTCCCAGCAGGGTCAGACAGCCAGGGAAGACCAGTCTACGGAGCTCAGGTGAATTTTGCAGTATATTATAATAATCAGTGAATGGATACAATGTTCCATCTTGAGTTGATGGGTAGGCTACAGTCTGGGAATAATGGTCATTTCAATTATTGAACCATTGATTCTATTCTTGGATAATATAATGTATAAATGTACACCAAGGTAATTCTTTGTTATGCCTCATCTGAGCAGGATCAGATGGTGACAGGGGTCTCAGCAGGGTCAGGCAGCCAGGGAAGACCAGTCTGTGACGGCGCAGAGGTGAACTTTTGCAGATACAACACTTTATTATCTCTGTGCAGCAAACACTGGACAAGCAAGAAGCTTCAAAGATTGAAACTATTTTAAGGCCGTCTGACAAACCTCTAAAGTTGATTTCCAAACTGTATCAAGGGTTGATAGTGGCTTTTCCTGATGACACAAAATATGTAAAACAAAAATGTGAGGAAGACCTGGGAGACGCTATTGATGATGATGAATGGATACAGATATGTTAGAATGCCCAGTCATGTTCATATAATCTCAGACATAAATTACTGCAGTTTAAGACCATCTCTAGAATGTACTACAGTGGGGAAAAAAAGTATTTAGTCAGCCACCAATTGTGCAAGTTCTCCCACTTAAAAAGATGAGAGCGGCCTGTAATTTTCATCATAGGTACACGTCAACTATGACAGACAAAATGAGGGAAAAAAATCCAGAAAATCACATTGTAGGATTTTTAATGAATTTATTTGCAAATTATGGTGGAAAATAAGTATTTGGTCAATAACAAAAGTTTCTCAATACTTTGTTATATACCATTTGTTGGCAATGACACAGGTCAAACGTTTTCTGTAAGTCTTCACAAGGTTTTCACACACTGTTGCTGGTATTTTGGCCCATTCCTCCATGCAGATCTCCTCTAGAGCAGTGATGTTTTGGGGCTGTCGCTGGGCAACACGGACTTTCAACTCCCTCCAAAGATTTTCTATGGGGTTGAGATCTGGAGACTGGCTAGGCCACTCCAGGACCTTGAAATGCTTCTTACGAAGCCACTCCTCCGTTGCCCGGGCGGTGTGTTTGGGATCATTGTCATGCTGAAAGACCCAGCCACGTTTCATCTTCAATGCCCTTGCTGATGGAAGGAGGTTTTCACTCAAAATCTCACGATACATGGCCCCATTCATTCTTTCCTTTACACGGATCAGTCGTCCTGGTCCCTTTGCAGAAAAACAGCCCCAAAGCATGATGTTTCCACCCCCATGCTTCACAGTAGGTATGGTGTTCTTTGGATGCAGCTCAGCATTCTTTGTCCTCCAAACACGACGAGTTGAGTTTTTACCAAAAAGTTCTATTTTGGTTTCATCTGACCATATGACATTCTCCCAATCCTCTTCTGGATCATCCAAATGCACTCTAGCAAACTTCAGACAGGCCTGGACATGTACTGGCTTAAGCAGGGGGACACTGCAGGATTTGAGTCCCTGGCGGCGTAGTGTGTTACTGATGGTAGGCTTTGTTACTTTGGTCCCAGCTCTCTGCAGGTCATTCACTAGGTCCCCCCGTGTGGTTCTGGGATTTTTGCTCACCGTTCTTGTGATCATTTTGACCCCACGGGGTGAGATCTTGCGTGGAGCCCCAGATCGAGGGAGATTATCAGTGGTCTTGTATGTCTTCCATTTCCTAATAATTGCTCCCACAGTTGATTTCTTCGAACCAAGCTGCTTACCTATTGCAGATTCAGTCTTCCCAGCCTGGTGCAGGTCTACAATTTTGTTTCTGGTGTCCTTTGACAGCTCTTTGGTCTTGGCCATAGTGGAGTTTGGAGTGTGACTGTTTGAGGTTGTGGACAGGTGTCTTTTATACTGATAACAAGTTCAAACAGGTGCCATTAATACAGGTAACGAGTGGAGGACAGAGGAGCCTCTTAAAGAAGAAGTTACAGGTCTGTGAGAGCCAGAAATCTTGCTTGTTTGTAGGTGACCAAATACTTATTTTCCACCATAATTTGCAAATAAATTCATAAAAAATCCTACAATGTGATTTTCTGGATTTCTTTTCCTCAATTTGTCTGTCATAGTTGACGTGTACCTATGATGAAAATTACAGGCCTCTCTCATCTTTTTAAGTGGGAGAACTTGCACAATTGGTGGCTGACTAAATACTTTTTTTCCCCACTGTATATGCCAGTTAAACTGAATATCATGCACACAGAAATGTCATTCTTCTGCTGGAGGTGTAAAACACAAAAGGGGACATATTTGCATATGTTATGGTCTTGTGAAGGCTGGCTGAATTCAGGCAAAGAGTATGTTGTTTTATCTCAGCATGTCTACAGATTCTCCCTGTTTTTGTTTGCTTGGAAATGTTGATATTGAAGACTGTTATCAGAAGAAACTGTGTAATGTTGCATTTATAGTGGCTAAGAAATGCATTGCCATTAATTGGAAGGTTGGTTATCCTCCCACAATGTCACAATGGATGGCAGAAATGTCAAGTTATGTATCACTAGATTTGATTTATTACAAGATTAAGGGTATACTGTGCAACTTTCATAAGGTCTTGATTCTTTATATGGAATACTGTACGACAGAAGGAGTCTGATAGGGAATGCCTAAATAGGTATTCAGGGGAGATACCTATTTAGGCATTCCCTAGCTGCTGGGCTGCTCAGTCCTGGCCCTGGGGGTCTGCTGTACTGTTGGTTGTCACTCTGGCCTTGGCCTAACACACCTGAAATCAATAATGAATGTTTCACTAAGATCCTAAAGCTGAGTGGGGTGTGTTGGGTTGGGGCGCTGCAGGGCCGTGGACTGCTAGGGGCAGGACGGGGTGACCCAGCTATATTGTGTGTAAGAAAAAGAGCTCTACAGTACTATTAGGCCTATGATATGAATGATATGGAGGATGTACTGTTTCTGTGTGTTAATGAGTAGGAGGTGTATGTGTGTTTTTATTAAACTTTTGATTTCCAAACCTTTCCCTTGAGATATATATAAAAAAAAGATGGGAAGGAAGTTGTGTTGGTGACTGGACTGGTGGGGGTCAGGCGTTCAGGTGGCTAGGGCTGGCTGGGCAGTCTGGCTGAAATTTGATATAGAGGATGTCTTAATAAAGACAATCAAAAGTTAAGTCTTTGTACTTTATTTGTAAGAGTTGTTTATTTGTTAGGCTATTTGTTAAAGGTGCAACACAATATTGATTACTGAAATATCATTGATCTAGTTCAGTCTTATCAATCACTTAAACATATTTAAAAATGATCTCTTACATGATGACTGGGCATTTTTGCAAACTTTTTGTTGTTCTAAATAGAGATGGCTAGAAGGGCCATGGGTCATATTAGATTGTGTAGAAATTCAGGAAATTAACTTTAGATGCCCCCAAAAAATGGGAGGACCCTCAGACACCCCGGCAAGTTATGTTCCACCCACCTCTAAAACCAAAGTTGCACCCCTTGAGACAACCACATATAAGAGTCAAATATGCAGGATACCAACATTCCCTTCAAGCTAAACATTTTATTTTATTTTTTTATTCATATCTAAAATCTATGAATAAAAAAGCTGCAAATGTGGAAAAAAACTGACATTCAGCTTCCACAGCCTCCAAGAAATGTCAGTACTTATTGCAATGTTTCTTTGGTAATGAGGCCTCTATTGGACACTAGATTCCCAACAAGACAAATACAAAAGTGCAAAAGAGACGCCAGACAGGAGATATAACATATAATGCAGTAAGTAAAGACTCACACTTATTTTGGTAGCAACCTTTGACATCTCATCCTGGGGTACAACCTGTAGGAAAGAGATTTCAAAGAATAAGAAACTTTAGAAATACTTATATATTTTTTTTAAATGTCCCCATTGTGTAAAACTGCCTTACATTGATGATGTGTCCACTTACAGGTAATTTCACCAAAGAGCAGAACATAGATAATGGGCGTAATAATGCCTAATTCACAGGTAATTGCATCAAAAACATACAGCTGGACTCAAAATTACATACGGTATGTGGAGATTCACCACTCTATTGAGAGTAATATATTGAGAGGTGAAACCTGGGTCGGGGCCTTTTAAGAAGTGTAACTTGGTCAAAAAATACAATTTTAAAAGGAATAGTTTCACCATATTAAGACAAGAGTTCAGTTCACGTAACAGGGTTGACCTTAAAATGAGGGACAGACATAAATTAAATCACTAATCAATAAATAATAATCTCCAGAAAAAACTTTGTCAAAGCAAAAAAAATTTGGGCTTTACAATGGTGGTGAAAAATGTGAGAAATGTGGGGGTTTAGTGGGTTCAAATCTACATAGAAGTCACAGAGGCTGCACAAAGAGACTTGTCAAAATGCTGAATTTAGCACTTTAGCAAGTCTTTATTCATATAAAGAAATATGATTTATTGAATTCTCCATGTGGTCTATATTAAACGGCAGTATAATACATTTAACAGGCTTTTCAAATTCAATATTGGTGCACAATTTCTACTTTAAATATCAAAGGGACGCAAAAGGCACTCTTTTCGTGGACCGACCCACCTTTGTTTCCCCCAAGGCACCAATCTCCACAATCTTTGTATTCCCCACATTTGTAATATTAATTCGAAAACAAAACAATTATGTAATACATTTCAACCTGTACCTATATTATCATGTAGGCATGATTCATCCAGAAAAAGAGGGTTCACTACAGCATAGCCTGTACAGTATTCTAGGCCAGTAGCACCACCTGCCCAATGCTCCAGCAAGGGAAGGAAGCATGGTGTAACAAAGCCAGTCCTCAGGGACACTTCATGAATAATGAATTGAGGTGAGAGGAAGTTTCTTTACATTTCTCCCTTTTCCAATTAAAAAGTGTCGGAAGACACAGCAGGAGGCCTGGAAAACATTCCATCTGTCCTCATGGAAAACCTGCTCTGCTTTGCCCAGCTCAGGTGCATTTTCCCATGAGATGGTTCCTCAGCCTCCTCTTCTGTTCCTGTGCCTCAGGGGCACCTGGGGAACCTGCTGCTATTTCTGCCTACTGCAGTGATTAATGTGTGGTTTGTTACCTTGCTGCTCACCTCACTCAGTTTAACCCTGTGTACTTTATTAGTTGGTACTGATTCTGACTTGTATAACTGTGCCTCGATGGCAAACTCTAAGGATTGGGATTTAGTAAGGAGTTTGTGCGCATAGCCTACAGTACTGTATTCTAATGCTTTGCTATTTGCAATGTGGGAGAATAAGAAGACTTTGTTCCACATCTATTTATCCTCTGCCTCAAACCTTTGATCACTGATCACAGAACACCTCACCAACAACATTATTTCAACAGTGACAGAGAGTGAGCAGTCTAGCTACCTGATTGGAGGTCCAGGGCTGTTTCTCTGTCCAGTCTCTGTGGTTCCTGATATACCACCACTGGATCTCAAGGGAGTAGGAGGGGCCTGCCCCCCGGAAGGAGCATGCCATCTCCACGTCCTGGCCACTCTGTGTTGTGATGTCATGGGGGACCTCTGTGAACACAGCTGTATGGAGAGAAAAAAGCTAAGTTAACAGTTGGCTTTAAAAAAGATGACTCAGTCCTCTCTGAAGACAATACGGGTGGTGTTTGCTCTTACTGCAGTTGATTTACAGCGATGATAATACGCTGTGATTGTAAATGGTCTCTAATAGAATATTGAGTTAACCCTAGTAATAGTGTGCATAAATCTTTTATTTATTTTTTACAACACAACACAATCCAGAAATACTTGTGTTTCTAAGCAACTATGAGGAATGCAATCATAAATCCTCATTTACCAGTTAAAACATTTCCATTTTGATGAGTATAATTTGTTGGTCTGATGTAATTAATAAGGAGCATCCAGACACTGCACTTGATTAATTTATGAAATTGCTTCTTTCAATTATTGATAAACATGCACCTGTTAAGAAACTGACTGTTAGAACTGTTAAGGCTCCATGGATTGATGAGGAATTGAAAAACTGTATGGTTGAAGGAGATGGGGCAAAATGAGTGGCTCATAAGTCTGGCTGCACATCTGACTTACTGTAAATTAAGAAATTATGTGACTAAACTCAACAAAAAGAAGAAGAAACTGTATTATGAAGCCAATATCAATTATATAAAGAATGATGGAAAAAAACTTTGGAGTACTTTAAATGAAATTATGGGCAGAAAGACAAATTCTTTCATCAAATCAGATGGCTTATTCATCACAAAACCAGTTGATGTTGCCAGTTATTTTAATGATTACTTCATTGGCAAAGTGGACAAACTTAGGCAGGAAATGCCAACAACGAACCTCAGCAGAATCTGGTAATAAATGGTGTGGCTGTTGAAAAAGTTGAGGAGACTAAATTACTTGGTGTTACCTTAGATTGTAAACTGTCAAGGTCAAAACATATAGATTCAATGGTTGTAAAGATGGGGAGAGGTCTGTCCACACTCCAAAAAGCAAGTCCTGCAGGCTCTAGTTTTGTCGTATCTTGATTATTGTCCAGTCATGTGGTCAAGTGCTGCAAAGAAAGACCTAGTTAAGCTGCAGCTGGCCCAGAACAGAGCAGCACGTCTTGCTCTTCATTGTAATCAGAGGGCTAATATAAATACTATGCATGACAGTCGCTCTTGGCTAAGAGTTGAGGAGAGACTGACTGCATCACTTCTTCTTTTTATAAGAAACATTCATGTGTTGAAAATTCCAAATTGTTTGCATAGTCAACTTACACACAGCTCTGACACACACACTTACCCCACCAGACATGCCACCTGGGGTCTTTTCACAGTCCCCAAATCCAGAACAAATTCAAGAAAGCGTACAGTATTATATAGAGCCATTATTGCATGGAACTCCCTTCCATCTCATATTGCTCAAATGAACAGAAAACCTGATTTCAAAAAACAGATAAAGCAACACCTCACAGCACAACGCCTTTTTCCTATTTGACCTATATATTTTGTGTGTATGTACTGATATGTAGGCTACGTGTGACATTTTTAAATGCATGTAGTTCTGTCGTTGAGCTGTTCTTGTCTATTAATGTTCTGTATTATGTCATGTTTCATGTTTTGTATGGACCCCAGGAAGAGTAGTTTCTGCTTTAGCAGTAGCTAATGGGGATCCTAATAAAATACCAAAAATACCAATCATTGTGCTCACCTGGCTTGCTCTTTAGTTAGCCTTATTATTTAACATTTGTAATATTTTGTTTTATTAATGTTACCACTTTGCCTGTAAACTAAAGAAGGCATTACTGCCAAAACAGCTTCCCTGTTTTTGTTTTTCAGTTAAAATATGTACTGAAGTTTTGCACTACAACAGACAGCTTTGACAGATTTTCTAAAGTAGTTCTGATGAGCAATGTCACAACTGAAAACTGCAGCTTTGCTGAAGAGCTGGCAAACTAAATAGGATTGGGTGTATCTCTCTCCAGCATAAAACCTTTTAGATCAGGGGTGTCAAACTGCTGCTCATCAGGGGTGTCAAACTCATTCCATGGAGGGCCTAGTGTCTGCGGGTTTTTGGTTTTTCCTTTCAATTAAGACCTAGACAACCAGGTGAGGGGAGGTCTTTATTAATTAGTGACTTTAATTAATCAATCAAGTACAAGGGAGGAGCGAAATCCCTCAGTCACTCGGCCCTCCAAGTGTATCTTTCCTGCAATTCCTGATTACTTATTCTTAAAGCAAAGGTAATTTATATACATTAGATAACCACTGGGAATTGTCGGATCAGAATTGGTGCTTACAAGAAAACATTACCCCCAAAAACGACATCAACCTTGAGAAAATCAACTGGCTGGAGAATGAGAGAGAGAGTGAACAGAATTCACTGAGCTACAGAAAGAGCGAGAGAGAGAGAGTGAACAGCATTCACTGAGCTACAGAGAGCGAGAGAGAGAGAGAGAGAGTGAACAGCATTCACTGAGCTACAGAGAGAGAGAGTGAACAGCATTCACTGAGCTACAGAGAGAGAGAGAGAGTGAACAGCATTCACTGAGCTACAGAGAGAGAGAGAGAGAGAGAGAGAGAGAGAGAGTGAACAGCATTCACTGAGCTACAGAGAGAGCGAGAGAGAGAGAGAGTGAACAGCATTCACTGAGCTACACAGAGAGAGAGAGAGAGAGTGAACAGCATTCACTGAGCTACAGAGAGAGAGAGAGAGAGTGAAACAGCATTCACTGAGCTACAGAGAGAGAGAGAGAGAGAGTGAACAGCATTCACTGAGCTACAGAGAGAGCGAGAGAGAGAGTGAACAGCATTCACTGAGCTACAGAGAGAGAGAGTTGGCCATGGTGCTGAAAGTCCAGTGCTGCTGCCAGTTTATTGTTAGCTCCCAGGTGGTATGCTTTTTCAATCTCCACTAGAATACCGGAGAACATTGCATAGGGGCAATAAACTAATTCTGTTTCTTCCAAAAATGTCGATCTACCTTTATTTTTATTCCACCGCTTCCAAGTCTGAGTTTAAGAGCCTCTGTAAATCTCTGGGCCAACTGTGCATACTGGGAAAGCAATGTCTCCCGCTCCAGAGAGTTACAAGCCCCCAGTCATATCTCCATTGTAAATCGATCAAATCCCTTTGAATTGTTTCATTTGCCAGACACAAAACACACTTTGCATCAATTCACCATTATGATGGGAAGTGGAGAAGCAGGCTAAAATGTTATTGTATTCAAATCAGTGATGTAAACTGTCATTAAATAGATAGGCTCTCTGTATTGGTTTTTGACGTTGATCATGTTTCTTTTTGATTTAGTACAGATGTAGGATCTTAAAATAATCCTGCAGCAACAGGAAGAAGCGCCGGAGAAGATGGCTGCCGTTTTACAGCCCTCTAACCAATTGTACTATTATGTGTGTTTTTCCGCGTTATTTGTAATTTATTTTGTACATAATGTTTCTGCCATCGTCTCTTATAACCAAAAAGAGCTTCTGGATATCAGGACAGCGATTACTCACCTCGTATTGGACGAAGATTTTTTCTTCAACGAGGCGGCCGCGAAGGATATCATACAGACACCCGACAAGGCCCAAATTCCCCGTCATTCGCGTGAGGAAGAGACGGAGATATCGCGGACGTAGATCCGGGTGCCTTGTAAGGATCCGACGGCGAGCGAGTAAACTGCCTCTTCCATCAATCCTATTAGCCAACGTTCAATCTTTTGAAAATAAAGTGGACGATTTAAGATTACGGTTATCCTACCAACGGGACATTAAAAACTGTAATATCTTATGTTTCACGGAGTCGTGGCTGAACGACAACAATGATAACATTCAGCTAGCAGGCTATACGCTACATCGGCAGGACAGAACGGCTGACTCCGGTAAGACAAGGGGTGGCGGTCTGTGTATATTTGTAAACAACAGCTGGTGCACAAAGTCAAATACTAAGGAAGTCTCGAGGTTTTGTTCGCCTGAGGTAGAGTATCTTATGATAAGCTGTAGACCACACTATTTACCAAGAGAGTTTTCATCTATATTTTTCATAGCTGTCTATTTACCACCACAAACCAATGCTGGCATTAAGATTGCACTGAATGAGTTGTACAAGGCCATTAATCAACAGGAAAACGCTCATCCAGATGCAGCGCTCCTAGTGGCCGGGGACTTTAATGCAGGGAAACTGAAATCCGTTCTACCTAATTTCTACCAGCATGTTAAATGTGCAACCAGAGGGAAAAAAACTCTAGACCACCTTTACTCCACACACAGAGACGCATACAAAGCTCTCCCTCGCCCTCCATTTGGCAAATCTGACCATAACTCTATCCTCCTGATTCCTGCTTATAAGCAAAAACTAAAGCAGGAAGCACCAGTGACTCGGTTAATAAAAAAGTGGTCAGATGACGCAGATGCTAAGCTACAGGACTGTTTTGCTAGCACAGACTGGAACATGTTCCGGGATTCTTCAGACAGCATTGAGGAGTACACCACATCAGTCACTGGCTTCATCAATAAGTGCATCGATGATGTCGTCCCCACAGTGACCGTACGTACATACCCCAACCAGAAGCCATGGATTACAGGAAACATCCGCACTGAGCTAAAGGGTAGAGCTGCCGCTTTCAAGGAACGGGACTCTAACCCGGACGCTTATAAGAAATCCCGCTATGACCTCCGACGAACCATCAAACAGGCAAAGAGTCAATACAGGTCTAAGATTGAATCATACTACACTGGCTCTGACGCTCGTCGGATGTGGCAGGGCTTGAAAACTATTACAGACTACAAAGGGAAGCACAGCCGCGAGCTGCCCAGTGACACAAGCCTACCAGACGAGCTAAACCACTTCTATGCTCGCTTCGAAGCAAGCAACACTGAAGCATGCATGAGAGCACCAGCTGTTCCGGATGACTATGTGATCACGCTCTCCGTAGCCGATGTGAGTAAGACTTTTAAGCAGGTCAACATTCACAAGGCCGCAGGGCCAGACGGATTACCAGGACGTGTACTCCGAGCATGTGCTGACCAACTGGCAAGTGTCTTCACTGACATTTTCAACATGTCCCTGACTGAGTCTGTAATACCAACATGTTTCAAGCAGACCACCATAGTCCCCGTGCCCAAGGACTCTAAGATAACCTGCCTAAATGACTACCGACCCGTAGCACTGACGTCTGTAGCCATGAAGTGCTTTGAAAGGCTGGTCATGGCTCACATCAACAGCATTATCCCAGAAACCATAGACCCACCCCAATTTGCATACCGCCCCAACAGATCCACAGATGATGCAATCTCTATCGCACTCCACACTGCCCTTTCCCACCTGGACAAGAGGAACACCTACGTGAGAATGCTATTCATTGACTACAGCTCAGCATTCAACACCATAGTGCCCTCTAAGCTCATCACTAAGCTAAGGATCCTGGGACTAAACACCTCCCTCTGCAACTGGATCATGGACTTCCTGACGGACCGCCCCCAGGTGGTAAGGGTAGGTAACAACACATCTGCCACACTGATCCTCAACACGGGGGCCCCTCAGGGGTGCGTGCTCAGTCCCCTCCTGTACTCTCTGTTCACCCATGACTGCATGGCCAGGCACGACTCCAACACCATCATTAAGTTTGCCGACGACACAACAGTGGTAGGCCTGATCACCGACAACGATGAGACAGCCTATAGGGAGGAGGTCAGAGATCTGGCCGTGTGGTGCCAGGACAACAACCTCTCCCTCAACGTGACCAAGACAAAGGAGATGATTGTGGACTACAGGAAAAAAAAGAGGACTGAGCACGCCCCCATTCTCATCGACGGGGCTGTAGTGGAACAGGTTGAGAGCTTCAAGTTCCTTGGTGTCCACATCACCAACGAACTATCATGGTCCAAACACACCAAGACAGTCGTGAAGAGGGCACGACAAAGCCTATTCCCCCTCAGGAGACTAAAAAGATTTGGCATGGGTCCTCAGATCCTCAAAACATTCTACAGCTGCACCATCGAGAGCATCCTGACTGGTTGCATCACCACCTGGTATGGCAACTGCTTGGCCTCCGACCGCAAGGCACTACAGAGGGTAGTGCGTACGGCCCAGTACATCACTGGGGCAAAGCTTCCTGCCATCCAGGACCTCTATACCAGGCGGTGTCAGAGGAAGGCCCTCAAAATTGTCAAAGACTCCAGCCACCCTAGTCATAGACTGTTCTCTCTGCTACCGCACGGCAAGCGGTACCGGAGTGCCAAGTCTAGGTCCAAAAGACTTCTCAACAGCTTCTACCCCCAAGCCATAAGACTCCTGAACAGCTAATCATGGCTACCCGGACTATTTGCACTGCCCCCCCCACCCCATCCTTTTTACGCTGCTGCTACTCTGTTAAGTATTTATGCATAGTCACTTTAACTCTACCCACATGTACATATTACCTCAACTACCTCAACTAGCCGGTGCCCCCGCACATTGACTCTGCAACGGTACCCCCCTGTATATATAGCCTCCCTACTGTCACTTTATTTTACTTCTGCTCTTTTTTTTCTCAACACTTTTTTTGTTGTTGTTTTATTCTTACTTTTTTTGTTTAAAATAAATGCACTGTTGGTTAAGGGCTGTAAGTAAGCATTTCACTGTAATGTCTGCACCTGTTGTATTCGGCGCATGTGACCAATACAATTTGATTTGATTTGATTTGATTTGAAATGTGAATTATTATGTGGATTATAATTAATAGACATTTTTGGAGAGTTGATACATTTTCCGTAAGGGAAAATCAAGTCTGAAATTTCAAAGTAGAAATTAGAAACTTACTTTTCAAA